ATACAATGAGCAGCAGTTAGTATAAAATTAGGGCTAATTATAACACCACCGCAATAGTGTAGATCCCGTTCCTTGAGTTCAACGTTAGGATTAACTGGTGGCGTACCATACGGTATATGTATGCTAACCATCCACGGAAAGTCATGGTTCAGGGCTTCCTGGCCATCGACAATACGGTCAGCAGTTTTATGACCACCGCTTAGTCTATTAGCATCATGATTATGGCGGCCATCAACAGTGGTCAGACCACAATAGGGTAGACTAATACCATTGGACCGGTAGTTGCGACACTTGTCCAAACATTTAGGATATTGTTTGCATACCTGTGCGCAATCAGTATTATCTGCTGTTAATTGATTATTATTATTATTACTACTACTACTACTACTACTACATGTAATAATTAATATATTTGTTATAAATATGTTGTTTAATATTAATAATTTCGATATTATTGATGATATAATAATTAAATAGTAGTTAATAAACATAATTAATTAATAAAATTTTAACATATTTATTTATTTGATTATTATTGTGATTTTTTTAAAAAAAATAAATAAATAAATATTTAATGATTTATATTAATAATATTGTAAATGTAATGTTTAGTTAAAAAAACAGTAATATTACCTTAAGTTTGTTATTAAAAAAAATATATTTAATGTTTGATATGTATTATGTAAGTGATTGGAGTCTCATATTACCTAAAAATTAAAAATATTATAAATAATTATTTTTTACTACTACTACTACTACTATTAAAAAATAATTTATTAAAACAATGATTTAATTTATAAATAAAAATTTGTTTTTTTCTATTAAAAATTTTTTTCTAAATTTTGATATTATATAACTATTTTTTATATTACAAAACTTTGTACAAAAAAACAAAAGCGATAAAATTAAAAAATTTGAAATATTTTATTATCATAAATTATAAGTATTAATTTTTTTTAGATTAAATAGTTATTTTACAATTAATTTTTATAATCTATAAAATAAAATAAAAAATATATATTTTAATTAAATTGCAACAATAATTGATATAATTGTAAAAAAAATATTCCACTTATTGATTTAAAAAAAACATATTTAATAATAGAAATAAATATCAAACAATAAAAAATGTTAGATATTATTATCTAAAAATAAAGTATTAATTTTTATTTTGAAAATATATAAAAAATAAAAAATAATACATAAAATATTTGATAGATTTAATTAATAGAGATAGAGATATGACAAACAATTTTATTGATATAATATATATATATATATATWAATTATATATAATATTTTAATATATATATATATAAATGTTTAAGTTGTTTATGCTTTTAAATTAACTTCAATTAAAATAATCAATTTTTAAAAGTGATAAAAGTCTAATGGAAAATATATATCATATATATATATATATATATATATATATATATATATACTGTATATGTAGATACACAATATATATACTGTATATATATATTATATATGTACTGTATATTAGTATATTATAACTGATAATAGCAATCTAATACAACAATAACAAAATAATAGTAATAGTAATATAAATAATAGTATATAAATATAAAGTTTTAAATAAATAAATTTCCAAAAACATTCATAAACTTATAATTATATTTACTGAAAAAAATATTATACAATCATATTATTATTATTACTACTATTACTACTACTATTACATTACTAACTACTTATAAATAAATACTGTTTAAAAAAAATTATATGTATAATGAAATTATTATTATTATTATTACAATTAATTTTGTGTTTAATTTTATTAAACAATCAATTGATTGACTGTTCACTAAACGATAGACTCGACTGTTGGTTGGAATGTATGTATAAATAAATAAAACAAATAACTAAATATTTTAATTAAATTTTTAAAAAAAATATATTTGTTTTTTTATATTTAATAATTTTTTAGATGACTTTAGCGTCGATAAAGACTCATGTGAACAGAGAGGTTGTATTTGGGACGGAGAAAAACGGCCAAACGGTGTTCCCATTTGCTATTTAGACAGGAATCGTGTTGGCTATAGACGGGTAGGCGATGTCCGCAGCAATACATCAACTGGTGGACAGTTAGATCTGTCGCTGAAAGATACGGCTCGCCGGGTATTGAAAAATTCGCCACAAATTGAATCCGTACGGTTTGAATGGACATATCTGACCGATCGTATAGTACGGGTAAAACTGGTTGATCCGAAGTCCAGACGATACGAGGTTCCTGTTCAGCAAAACTTTCCGCTTTTGGTGGAAAAGACTGAACCAATTGATCCGAAAAAACTTCAATACAGTGTCGACATTAGCGATGATAAACAGGATTTTAGTTTTTCAATACAACGAAAGTCGACTAAAACTAAATTGTATACAAAAAACAAACAATTATTAAAAATAATTATAATTATTATTAAAACTAAAACATTTAATAAATAATTTATACACAGATTTGACACATCAATCGGTGGTCTAATATATAGCGACCAATTGCTACAAATAGCCACACGTTTGCCGACCGGTAATGTGTACGGTATGGGCGAAAATACACACCATTCCCTCAGACATGACTTTACCAACTATAAGACATACCCATTGTTTACACAGGACAGGGCTACTGGTGATGTATGTACAGTAAAAATCAATTAAATAAATAAATAAATATTTTTACATAAATCTATTTGACTTAATCCCTAATGATTAATATATATATATATACTTAATCTATATATTAAAATACTTATCCAATAATAATATTAATTATTATTATTATTACATATTTTTTAGGAACAGTTCAACTATTATGGTGTCCATCCGTTTTATACATGTCTGGAAAGTGATGGTCAATCACATGGCATACTATATCTAAGCAGCAATGCTATGGGTATTAGACTAATAGGATATTATTATTATTATTTATTCAAAAATAGTTTTATTTAATTATTATCAATAATAACTATTAATTTAAAAAAAAAAATCAATAAATAGAGTATACATTACTACCTGAGCCGGGTTTGTCATTCAAAACACTGGGCGGTGTATTAGATATGTTTGTATTTGTTGGCGACAGTCCGGGTCATGTGATCGAGTTGTATACATCGCTAATCGGTCGACCAATTTTGCCCCCATTCTGGGGACTGGGCTATCAGTTGACTCGTTGGGGATTTAAAAATACGGATGATTTGCGTGCAGTAATCGATCGCAATCAAAAAGCTAACGTTCCTCTGGTATGTTATTATTGGTATAATTATTATTATTGTTGTCCACAAACAGTATAATACTGTATAATACATATTAAACTGATTATACATTTTCAATTTATTTATTGATACATTTAAAAAAAAAAAATAGGATGTCATGTATATGGATATTGATTATATGGATCAATACCATGACTTTTCCTATAATAGACAATCATTTGCTGGTTTACCGCAATTGATTCATGAAACAAAATTGAATGATAACTTGCACTGGACATTGATATTGGATCCGGCCATCGAGGCCGTCGAAAAAGATAATCCCGTATTTATGGACGGCTATAACCGAGATGTTTATGTCAAATGGGATAAAAGTATAGCCAAACAGGATAGGTATAATCCGCCGAATGTACCGTCGGATAGGGATGTCTTGTATGGTAAGGTATGGCCTCGAGGACCGGCAGCTTTTCCGGATTTTTTCAAAAATGTTACACATGAATGGTGGATCCGATGGGTCGGCCAATTGCATAAGGATCTACAGTTTGACGCCCTATGGATTGTAAGCACTTATAATAATAATTTTAATAAGGTTTGGTCGGCTTATGTATGTACTGTACTCTAGGATATGAACGAACCGGCCAATCAAAATGATCAAATCTATCACTGTCCACAAAATAAATACGACTATCCAGCTGTTAGGACAAGTATGTCCTAATATCTAGATAATTAACTAATACACTATAATAATTGTTTTATAGTAATATATTATTATTATTATTATTATTATTATTATATGAACCTATAGAAGCTCTCTATGGAAACGGTGTACGCGAGTTAGGCCACAAAACTTTATGTATGACCACCAAACAGGGCGATCATAACGAGTACCTGCACTATGATGTCCATTCACTGTACGGTCTAACCGAAACTATGGCCACACAAAAGTACTGTTTTTTTTTTAAAAAAAACTAATTTTAGTAAACAAGTAATTGTATTGAAGTATATACCCGATTGTTGTTACACCCGATTATTTAGGGCTATCCACGCAGCGACCGGTAAACGCGGGTTTGCCGTTAGCCGATCGACATACGTATCGTCCGGCCGTTACGGCACCCACTGGTTGGGCGATAATTTCAGTGTCTGGGATAACATGAAGTTCTCGATTATTGGTATACTTGAGTTCAATATGTTTGGCATTAATTTTGTAATTAATATTTATTAATTAATTTTTTGTGTGTCTATAACATACACATACACATACACATACACATACACATACACATAATTATTGAAAAAAATATAAAATTAATAATTATTATAATTTTATTTTGAATAACAGGTCGGACCAGATATATGCGGATTTCTTAGCAATACTACACCCGAACTGTGCAAACGGTGGCACCAATTGGGCGCCTTTTATCCGTTCAGTCGTAATCATAACTGTATCGGTAATCGAGATCAGGACCCGGCCTCGTGGATAACAGCCGGACATCCGGAGGTTACCGATGCCATGAAAGTGGCATTCAGTTTACGCTACAAACTGCTACCCTATTTCTATACACTGTTCTATAAGGGCCATACCAGGGGCCAGACAGTTGCCCGACCATTGTTTCACGAGTTTCCTACTGATAATAATACCCATTCAATTGACGAACAGTTTATGTTTGGACCGGCAGTACTGGTCTCACCGTTTCTCTATGAGGTATGTATTAGTCTGTAAAGCACAGGTAGTTATATAGCTAATTATCTCATAAATTAGGGCCAAAAACAAGTCAAAGCTTACTTACCCGACACTAACACTGTATGGTATGATTTAAATCTAAATCAATCGAAACCGGGTTATGTAGTCATCGATGATAACGGTATGATACCTGTCCATCTACGGGGCGGTTATATACTACCAATTAGTTCGGAACCTAATCACGTCAATACCCGTACCGTTCGGGAGGGCGGTCTAAATCTGTTGGTATTACCCGATCAGTCGGGCAGAGCTGTCGGCGATTTTTTCTGGGACGACGGCGACAGTATTGATACCATTGAGAAACTGGAGTATAATTACTATACGTTTTCATTGGAAAACAATACATTGGATTTGACGGTTGAAAAACTGAATTACAAAACAAAACAACTGATAAAACTGATAGAAATAGTGTCCAGTAGTGAAGGCCAGACATGGACTGTAACATTAGATGGCAAACCATTACCATTGGAGGTCAAAGTTCACGGAGGAGTGGCTCAAATACCCGTTAATATTGATTTAATCGGTAAATCGGTCGGCGAAAAGTGGTCATTGAAATGGAAACCCGCATTTTAATAATATTTATAATAATAATTATATTTTAATTAAATTTATTTATAAACAGATATTGTATAATTAACTATTTTTAAAAAAAAACTAACAATTGTTTAAATATAATAATAATAATAATAATAAAGAGTTAAAAAATATATACTAATTGGTAAAGTCATGTCAAAAGGGAATGGTATGTATTTTCGCCCATACCGTACACGATTGCCCGACCGGCAAACGGGTAGCTATTTGTATAGCAATTGGTCGCTATATATATATATATATATATATTAAGACCACCGATTGATGTGTCAAATCTAATGTCAAAATTATTTATTAAATGTTTTAGTTTTAATAATAATAATAATTAATTAATTAATTAATAATTATTATTAAATAATTGATGTTTTATGTTTGCATACAAATTATGTTTATCATCGCTAATGAAATTGAGTAATATTTTTTGTAAATCAAATAAACATATGTATTATAAAGTATTATATATATATATACCGTATATATAGCGTTAAATATATTATTACTATTTTTTATTTTACACTTCCTTTTGAAAATTCCCAGAAAATATACTTTTTCTTTTGTTTATCACTTGTTGAACCAAAAAAGATATATAAAAAAATAGGTCTAATAAACAAAACAAATAATAATTAATATATTTTTGTCTTTATATTTTAGATTTTCAAGAATTATTTGTATAGTATTACTAAATTTACACTATTTTTTTATTATATTTGATACATATATATCAATAATATTAAAATTATTATACTAACAAAAAATATATTATTTTGTTTTAAATGATAGAGTAATAATAAAAATTTTGTTGTTATTATTTGGAAATTTCCCATATATTGGTTAATTACCGAACTCTATAATTATATGTACAGTATATACATATTATATATATATTAATTTGATATAAATTAATAAAAATAAAATATTATTATTATTATTTAGTAATAAGATTTATTCAAAATGGCTGATTATATTAAACACAAGTTAATTTATTTTCTAATTATTTTGATGTTGATAATTATAATTAATCCAAATAATTATCATGCTCAAAAATTACCGCTAACTAATAGAGATGAAGCTAGACTATTGAGACAAATTGAAAGTATAAATATATTTTTTWTTTTTTTAGAAAAATATACATATATTTAATTAAAATTTATTTTATTATTAGTTTTTATAATTATATTATAATTATAATAAATATATTTCTATAGGAATATTTCATTTGAAAAATGATGATGATGATGATATGGACATAAGTTATCCAGATAGAAACTATGGTCATCTAGCTAATTATAATTCAGGTATTATTATTATTATTATTACTTATATGTGTACATGTACAATATAATTATAATTTTAAAAAAATAACATTTTAATTTATAAAAAACACAATTAATTAACTTATTAATTATTAAAATTGATTTTTTTTAATATATAGAAGTTTTAACAACAAATTACATGAACAAAGTTTATCCAGATTCTAATACAGGTATTTTATAAAATTAAAAATTATTTAAAATATAATTTATTATAATTATAAAACAATTTACAGTATATGATATATACTAAATATTTTTACAGTATTTAGCTTATACTGTAAATGTATGTTTTTGTTTTAAGTTTAAATTATTATTTGTAATATTTATACTAGCTAAATTTGTTTTTAAAACTAAACCGATAAAACACATACAATTTTTAATTAAATTTTTTTACATAGAATTTATATTAAAAACAAAAATAAAAAATAGTTATTGGTAATATTTATATATATATATATATATATATATATATATGTTTGAAATATTACAATAAATTTCAATTTAAAAAAAAACATTTAATACTAATACTAAGTTTCAATAACAAAAAAATGGCTAAAATAATTATTTTATTTAATATAGATATGAATATATATATTTAAAAATTAATAATTATATATGATTTACAAAAAAATATATAATTATTTTTTTTTGTTATTTACATCATTAACAATAACAACAAATATTCACACTTTTTGTTTATAACATATATATTAATATACATAATATATATATATATCAGGGTTAAGCAAGGTTTTGGATTTTAGGGGGGGGGTAGACCGGGGTAAAATTTACAAAATTCTCAAAAAATCTTGGGGGGGGGGTATTGGGTGGGGTAAGATTTTTATTGCATTTTTAAACGGCAATTTTTTCAAAAATCCAAAATCAAGGGGGGTCTAGAGAAAATTCCCTAAAAATTCCTTAAGTTCCCGAATATTCCCATGTAAATTCAATAAAATTCCCACAAGTTCCCGTATAAATTCCCGGGAAAATAGGTAAAATTTCCAAAAATATAAAAAAAACTTAAAAAACTTAAAAATTAACAAAAATTTAAATTTTAATAAAAAATAAATATTTTTTAAAAAAATTTTTTTAAATTAATAAAAACTTAAATTTTAACAAAAAAAATAAAATAATGTATTTAAGATTTAAAAATAGTTGATAAAAGCATTAATGATACACTATGAGTTATTTTTAGTATTTTAATAATTTTTAACTTTTAACATAATTAATTTTTTAAACAATACTTAATGTTTATAGTTTGTTATATATTTTTATTTTTATACAAATACTGACTGAATACTACTTATTTAACTCAAATTTCGTTAAAGTTTAATTATATTAAGTACAAAATTGAAAATATTTTTAAATTTTTTATTTAAAATTTAAAAATTATTAATAAAAACATAAGTATTTATTGTTTTATTAACTTCTTAAACTTATATTTAAATTGTAATATGATTACTCTTTTCAACAAATAGGTAATTTTTAATTTTTTAGTTTATTTTAATTAAAATAATGTTATTTTTTGAAGACTTTTAACGTTATTTTAACTATTTTTAATCAATAATTAGATTTTTATAAATATTAAAAACATAAAAACACTTACTAAAATAGTATCAACTAAAATTAAAATTTTTATAAATTTCAATAAAAAATTTTCGGCGCCTTCGGCGCCGAAATTTTAGGGGGTATATATATATATTTTTAAGCGACAATTTTTTCAATTTGGTCAAAAAGTCTATATATAATCCCAATTTCTCGATCTTAGGGGGGGGGGGGGGGGGGTATTTTGGCCTACCCCCCCCCCCTACCCCCCCTTACTTAACCCTGATATATATATATATATTGTTTCTAACCTAACCTAACCTCAATCATCATCAAGATTGCAATCAGCACCTGATGTAGGTAGATGCAGGGCTATAGTACCTAGATGGTTTTGTAATTCAAGCTCAGGTATCTGTCAACAGTTTACATATGGTGGATGCGGTGGCAATGATAATAGATATGATAGTGAATCCATGTGCTATAGTAACTGTGCAGATAAATGCCAACCATCATCAGCACCGGTATATAGTAGAGGTAGTAGTAGTAGTAGTAGTAGTAGGAAGCATGGTAAACAGTTGACCGATTCAAATGATCAAGGTAATTATAACTAACTAACTCTAAATATAAAGTATTTATATTAATTATTATTATTATTATTGTATTTTTAAAATTTTAAATAATTATTTTTTTATTATTAAAAATTATTATTATTTTTGTTTTTTAAATAGAATTTTTACCCAAAAAAAATCATATGGACAAAACTAATTATAATCCAGGTATAATTATTATTATTATTATTACTATTATTAAATAAGATATATAATTATAAAAATTTTTAATTATTAAATGCCAATAGTGGGAATGGGTGTATAGAGGGTGTAGACTGTTATTTAATAAATTATTAATAATAATTGTATTTAAATTGTTGACAAAAAAAATTTAATTAACCAATATAGTTAATTTATTTAAACAATTATAGTTATAATTAGGTAATAATATAGTTATAGTTTTAAAATTAAATTAGTTATAATTTATCATATTTTTTATTTGTTGTATAATTAATTATATGTTTTAGATAGATGTTTTGAAAGTCGATTGTTTTTTAAAAAGTGTAAAAATAATTATCAATTTATAAATTAGCTGATCTAATCATAGTTATTTTTTTTAAATGACCTATTAGAATTAATATACACGAAATATATATATATATATATATATATATATATGCAATCTATTATTTATATTATTTAATTAATATTATTTAAAAAAAAATATTTTAACAATTTTTATGATAATTTTTGTTATTTAAAAAAATTAATATTTATATATTATTAAAATTAATAGATTGTCATTTACCGTCCAATAAGGGAGTGTGCAGGATGGTACCATATCCTAGATGGTTTTGCAATTCAGGCACCGGTAGGTGCCAACAGTTTCTATATACTGGTTGCGGGGGTAATGACAATAATTTTGAAGATGAAAACAATTGCTACAATAGCTGTGGACATGTATGTAGTGGTGGTAGTGGTGGTGGTGGTAGACATCATTAATTGAAAAACAAAAATMTTTTTTTTTTTAAATAATAATTTAAAACGTTTTAAAAAAACAAAATTAATAATAATATAAATTCAATTTTAATTATTTTTGAAAATAATATATTTTAAAAATTAATGATTAATATTATTATTTTTTTTTAAAAAAATTATTATTATTAATTTTATTATTAAATTTATTTAAATTAAATAAAATTTATTATTTTAACTAAATCAATAATTATTTTTTTTTTCATAAATACTATGGTAGCTATTACAAATAAATAATATACTATAATAAATAGTTAGATTTAAATTTGTTTAAATTTAATAGAATAAATATTTAAATAACAAAAAATAATACATAAATTATTATGCAAAAAATATTATTACTAAAAATTTTAAAATATTATTTTTGTTTTATTATAACTAAATTACTTAATTAATAATTATTATGTTGTTGAAAAATTATACATTAATAATACAGTATATACAGTATATACAGTATATACAAGTAGATCTTTTTGAAAAAACAAAATATTTAGTTTTAAAAAATGAAAATTCAAATTTAAAAAATGTTGTTTTAATTGTAACAATCAATGTTTAAATTCAATACATTTCTTTTTATTTATTAAAATCAATTATTAAAAAAACAATAAATAATTAAAATCAGATTTAAAAACAACATTTTATTATATTATATAAAAGTTATCTAAAAAAACAAACAATAGTTTTGTTTTTGTTGTTGTTTTTTAATAGTTGTTAATTAGTTGTTAGTATTTATACATCCGGACCATTAAAATCAAATGGTTTAGCTTTAGGTATAGGTTCAGCATCAACTGTGCTTGATACTTAATTAATAAGTTTTTTTTAATAAATAGAAAAAAAAATTAAATTAAAACAAAAAAAAAATTAAACAAAAATCAATCAATCAAAATAAATAAAACTTACGAAAAGCAATGATAACAACACTAAACATTGAAACCATAAAAACTACAACAAAACGATTCATTGTTATATCTAAACAAAAAAAAATAAATAAAAACTAATTAAATAAAATTAAAAAAAATTAAATTAAAACTTTTAAAAGTTTTTGTTAATAAAAATTTACTTAATTTTTTGTGTCTCTGTGTGTGTATATATATTAATAAAAATTGATTTTATTTTTTATTATTTTTTTTATATTATAAACACTATCGGGACTTATATATCCTATAATAGTTGTAACTCAATAAAAAAAAATATGTGTTTAAAAAATTTACTTAATTAATGAAATTAAATATTTGATTATTGATTGACGTCAACAATAAACCGAAAAAATTTCATACTTTTTCWAAAAAAAACGGTTTTTTTAAAATGTGTTTTTCAATAAAAATTTAATTTTTTTAATGATTTTTTTTGTGTGGTTTAAAATTACATATATTTTTTTTGTCGTCGATTTCCTGTCTTCAAGTAATATAAGGTAACTAACATTGAATACTATATATATATATATATATTTACAGGAAAGGTATAGGGGGTGGGGTCGGGTGGGGTAAAATGATAAAAATCTTAAGGGCAGGGGTGGGGTATAGGGTAGGATGAACTATTTTATTGTTGTTTTTGATAAAATCTAACTATGAATCCCCACCCCTCCCCACCCCAATAAATGTCATATATATTTTCATTGAATAAAAGTTTTAAATTATTTTATTATTATTATTATTATTTGTATTGAAAAAAAACCTAAAAATTTTGTTTATCATCGCCTGAGATGTCTGTGACACTGTATTGAAGTTTTTTTTGTGTAGATTTCCACTAAAAAAGCGGAAAGTTTTTGCTGAACAGGAACTTCCATAGCGTCCGGACAATTGGGTCGACAAGTTTTACCCGATCGGTCAGATCAATGTCCATTCAAACCGTACGCGGACTCAACTTGTGATCATTTTTTTTTCAATACCTGCGCTCGAGCCGTGTCTTTCAAGCGACAGAGCCATCTAACTGTCCACCAGTTGATGTAGTAGTGTTGCGGACATACCCTACCAGTCTATAGCCAAACAACACGTTTCCGATATAACTAGCAAATAGGGGAACACTGTTTGACCGGTTTTTTCTGAGTCCTAAAATACAATCTCTTTCTCTCTCTCTCTCTCTCTCTCTCTCTCTCTCTCTCTCTCTCTCTCTCTCTCTCTCTCTCTCTCTCTCTCTCTACTCTCTCTCTCTCTCTYTCTCTCTCTCTCTGTTCACATGAGAGACCTTATCGACGCTAAAGTCATCTAAAAATTTTTAAAAAATATTTTTTACAAAATTTAATTAAAATATTTAGTTATTTGTTTTATTTATACATACATTCCAACCGACAGTCGAGTCTATCGCTTATAGTTTATAATATATATATATATACTGTATCAGGGTTGCTAAAGGTTTTCGATTTCAGGGGGGGGGTATAGGGGGAGGTAAAATGGCAAAATTTTCGAAAAAGCTTGGGGGGGGGGGGGTATAGGGGGGGGGTGAACATTTTTTATTGCATTTTTAAACGACAATTTTTGCCAAATTTGAGTAAATTCCCATTAAATTCCCATTAAATTCCCATTAAATTCCCATTAAATTCCCATTAAATTCCCATTAAATTCCCAATAAATTCCCACTAAATTCCCACTAAATTCCCGCTAAATTCCCATTAAATTTTCAATAAATTAACAAATAAAAATATTCTCAACTTAATTTCTCAATACTCAAAATGTTTTCTAAATATTAAAAATTGCATAAATATATATATAACAAATATAATTATAATTATTAAATAAAAATATTATTTAGATTTTAAAAAAAATAGTTATTGATTAAAAATTAATGATATAATACTATTTATTAAAACGTTTTAATAATAATAATAATAAAATTGGCAGAAATAATTATTAATTAGTTCTAAATAATTAATTTAATTTAAAAATATATATTTTTTTAGTATTTTATATTGAACCATAACTAACACATTTTAATACTGTATTTATTAAAACGTTTTAATAATAATAATAATAAAATTGTCAGAAATAAATAATTAGTTCTAAATAATTAATTTAAGAATATTTTTTTACATAGTATTTCATATTGAAAAATAACTAACACATTTTACTATAAAATTTAAAAATATTAAAATATAATAACTTTAAAATTTATGCTAAAAATTTGTTTTCTACTTTTAATAAGAAATAATATATATAAATATTATCATTTATAAAGGCTAAAAAATAAAATAAAATATTTGATTATTTTTTTTGAAAATTGGTGGGAATTTATTAGGGAGCTTTTTTCCTTGTGGAGTGCCCCAACTCTATTTATGTAATATTTAGTTAATATTATTATTATTATTTTTAAAGCACATAACTAACAAATTTTAATATAAAGTTTAAAAATATTAAAATATAATTATTTTAAAATTTATGCTAAAAATCTTAGTTTTCGACTTTTAATAAGAAATAAAATATATATTATCTTTTATAAACAGCTATAAATAAAATAAAATATCATTAATTTTTTTGAAAATTTGGTGGGAATTTATTTTTTAGCTTGTGGAGTGCCCTAACTAGTGTAAATAATGTTAAATTGATGTAATTAAGCATTTTTATCTATTTATTTTCTATACATAAGCTATTAATTTATATTAAAACTAATTTAATATTTATTTTTTTGTTTAATATAAAATTTTACATAATTGAAAAAAATTTTCGGCGCCTGCGGCGCCGAAAATTAGTAGGGGGCCCCCTAACTTTCTGGCTTCAGGCCAGGGGGGTAAAAGCCAAAATTTCTCGATCTCAGGGGGGGGGGTAAGACGTCTTACCCCCCCCCCCCCCTTTAGCAACCCTGATACTGTATATATATACTATATATTTATACTGTATGTATATATATATATACTGTATATATATACTATATATTTATACTGTATGTATATATATATATACTGTATATATATACTATATATTTATACTGTATGTATATATATATATACTGTATATAACTTCAATTTGATGATCTATAAAATAAAAGTATACTATTTTTTTGAACAAAAAAAAATATTTACAAAAGTTTTTAGAAAATAAAAATAATAATTTTTATTTGTTTCAATTATAACAATCAATCAATACATTGTTTTTTATTAAGAAATTATTACAATAACAACAACAACAACAACAACAACAAAAAATTAAATTCATATAAAAAATATTTTTAATTTTTATTTATATATATAAGTGTATTAACAAAAATAAAACTGTTTGTTGTTGTTGTTTATAGTGTTATATATTGGTTAGTATTTATATAGCCGGACCACCCATAGGTTTAGCTTTAGGTATAGGTTCAGCTTCAATTGTGCTTGATACTTATTTAAAAAAAAAATTAAATGAAAATTTAAAACATTTTAAAACAACAACAAAAAACTTACGAAAAGCAATGATAACAACACTAAACATTGAAACCATAAAAACTACAACAAAACGATTCATTGTTATCCCTATTTAAAAAAAAAATTAAAAACAAATTAAATAAAATTAAAAACAATTTTTGTTTGTTAGTTATAATTTACTTAATTTTTTTTATGTGTACAAATTAAAGTGATATTATTTAATTTTTTTTTTATAAATATTCAACACTATCATCACTTATATATACTAAAAATTTTTTGCTACACAAAAAAATATGAGTTTAAAATTTATTGAAATTAAATATTTGATTTTTTTTTTTGATTGATTGACGTCAAACAAACAAAAAAAAATTGATATTTTAAAAAACAGGTGTTTTTTATGTGTATGGTTTTCAATCCATAATTTTAATTAATAATTTTTAATTTTTTTGTGGTTTAAAATTACTTATATTTTTTTGTCGATATCCTGTCTTAAGTAATACCAGAAACTAAAATATATATATAATTAGTTAGTATAAGTAATATATATATATATATATTAATATATATATATATATATATAAAACTTATATTAGATTTTTGGGAAAGTATAGGGGTTGGGTGGGGTGGGGTAAAATGATAAAAATCTTAAGGAGGGGTCGACAATTTTTATAGCACTTTTTTTGTTGCCAAATTTAAATATAAATTCACCCACCCCCCCTCCCCCCCAAATAAATGCCATATAAGTTAAGTCCTATAAAATAAAATTACTGAATAAAAGATTTATTATAAGTTTCCGATTCAAACATATAGTATTTATTTATTTATTTATTTTTTAAATAAAACTAATATTTATTTTTTAAATAAAACTAATATTTATTTTTTAAATAAAACTAATATTTATTTTTTAATATAAAAATATTTTTATCTCTATTATTATTATGATATTATATTTTTGAACAATTTAGTCAATAATTTATATTAAAAATTTAAAAATATATATTAAAAAAAGTTGTTATTTTAAAAAAAAAAATAGTTTATTATACAATATTTGTTTATAAATAATTATAAAATATAATTAACTACAAATATTATTAAAATACGGGTTTCCATTTCAATGACCATTACTTTTCGCCGACCGATTTACCGATTAAATCAATATTAACGGGTATTTGAGCCACTCCTCCGTGAACTCTGATCTCTGATGGTAATGGTTTGCCATCCAATGTTACAGTCCATGTCTGGCCATGACTGGATCGACTATTTCATGTGAGGCCAAGCACTGATATTATCGCCCAACCAGTGGGTGCCGTAACGGCCGGACGATACGTATGTCGATCGGCTAACGGCAAACCCGCGTTTACCGGTCGCTGCGTGGATAGCCCTAAAATAACAATCGGGTATACAGTTCAATACAATTAATTGACAAACAAAAAATTAGTTTTTTAAAAACAAAACTATACTTTTGTGTGGCCATAGTTTCGGTTAGACCGTACAGTGAATGGACATCATAGTGCAGGTACTCGTTGTTATGGTCGCCCTGTTTGATGGTCATACATATAGTTTTGTGGCCTAAATCGCGTACACCGTTTCCATAGAGTGCTTCTATAGGTTCATATAATAATAAATTACAATAAAACTATTATAGTGTATCAGTTAGGCATATGTTACTTACTTATCCAGATGTGACATACTTGTCCTAATAGCTGGATAGTCATATTTATTTTGTGGACAGTGATAGACATCATCATTTTGATTGGCCGGTTCGTTCATATCCTAGAGTACAGTACATATATAAGCCGACAATATAATATAAAAAATTATTATTATTATTATTATTATTTGTAAATGTGTTTGTCTATGTGTGTGTGTGTGTGTGTCTATGTGTGTGTGTGTGTGTCTGTGTGTGTGTGTGTGTGTGTGTCTGTGTGTGTGTGTATGTGTGTGTGTGTGTTTGTCTATGTATGTATCTATTATATGTGTGTGTGTCTATGTGTGTGTGTGTGTGTGTGTGTGTGTGTGTGTGTGTGTGTGTGTGTGTGTGTGTGTGTGTGTGTTTGTCTATATATGTATCTATTATATGTGTGAGTCTATGTATGTGTGTGTCTATGTGTATGTGTGTATGTCTTTGTGTTTCAGTCTACAGTATAATACACTGTATAGAACATCGTGTTATAGAAAATAATACAACAAAAATAAAATAAATAAATATTAATTACAAAATTAATGCCAAACATATTGAACTCAAGTATACCAATGATAGAGAACTTCATGTTATCCCAGACACTGAAATTATCGCCCAACCAGTGGGTGCCGTAACGGCCGGACGATACGTATGTCGATCGGCTAACGGCAAACCCGCGTTTACCGGTCGCTGCGTGGATAGCCCTAAATAATCGGGTGTAACAACAATCGGGTATATACTTCAATACAATTACTTGTTTACTAAAATTAGTTTTTTTTAAAAAAAAACAGTACTTTTGTGTGGCCATAGTTTCGGTTAGACCGTACAGTGAATGGACATCATAGTGCAGGTACTCGTTATGATCGCCCTGTTTGGTGGTCATACATAAAGTTTTGTGGCCTAACTCGCGTACACCGTTTCCATAGAGAGCTTCTATAGGTTCATATAATAATAATAATAATAATAATAATAATATATTACTATAAAACAATTATTATAGTGTATTAGTTAATTATCTAGATATTAGGACATACTTGTCCTAACAGCTGGATAGTCGTATTTATTTTGTGGACAGTGATAGATTTGATCATTTTGATTGGCCGGTTCGTTCATATCCTACATTACCCCGTACATACATAACATACATAAGCTCATCAAACAATATAAACCAAATTATTATTATTATTATAAGTGCTTACAATCCATAGGGCATCAAACTGTAGATATTTATTTTTATTTAATTGATTGATTTTTAACATACATCACCAGTAGCCCTGTCCTGTGTAAACAATGGAAATGTCTTATAATTGGTAAAGTCATGTCTGAGGGAATGGTGTGTATTTTCGCCCATACCGTACACATTGCCGGTCGGCAAACGGGCAAATTAGACCACCTATTGATGTATCAAATTTGTTATCAAATTATTTATTAAATGTTTTTTTGTTTTAATAATAATAATAATAATAATAATTTGTTTTTTTGCATACAATTTAGTTTTCGTCGACTTTCGCTGTATTGAAAAACTAAAATCCTGTTTATCATCGCTAATGTCGACACTGTATTGAAGTTTTTTCGGATCAATTGGTTCAGTCTTATCCATCAAAAGCGGAAAGTTTTGCTGAACAGGAACCTCGTATCGTCTGGACTTCGGATCAACCAGTTTTACCCGAACTATACGATCGGTCAGATATGTCCATTCAAACCGTACGGATTCAATTTGTGGCGACTTTTTCAATACCCGGCGAGCCGTATGTTTCAGCGACAGATCTAACTGTCCACCAGTTGATGTATTGCTGCGGACATCCCCTACCCGTCTATAGCCAACACGATTCCTGTCTAAATAGCAAATGGGAACACCGTTTGGCCGTTTTTCTTCGTCCCAAATACAACCTCTCTGTTCACATGAAACCTTATCGACGCTAAAGTCATCTAAAAAATTATTAAATAAAAAACAAATATTTTTTTTAAATAAAAAATTCAATTAAAATATTTAATTATTTGTTTTATTTATTTATACATACATTCCAACCAACAGTAGAGTCTATCGTTTAGTCAATCAATTGTTGGTTTAATAAAATTATGCAAAAAAATTAATTGTAATAATAATAATAATTTTATTATACAAATAATTTTTTTTGTGCAATAATTATTTATTTATTTATTTTTTAAAATATAAATTTATAAATGTTTTTGGAAATTTATTAAATTTTATATTTATATACTTTTTATATATAATATTATATTATTGTTGTTTTTGTTGCTATTATCAGTTAATACTTATTATTATTATTATTATTATTATATATATATATTAGTAATACAGTATTATTTAGTTTAAAGTACAAAAAGTTTAAATTTTTGTATTAGGCGTTGTTCACATATTACGTTCGCACTTTTTAAGAAATCTAGACCCCCTCCCTCCCCTATGTTCGCAATTGTTCGCATGTAGTCATTTAAAAAAATTACGTTCGCATGCCTCTAACCGATACCCCCCCCCACACCACACACCACAAGAAATAAAATATTATCTAAATTCGAACGTTCTTAAAGTCTCTACCCATCCCCTACCTCTCGTTCGCAAAAGTTCGCTTTGGCTAACCCCCCCCTCCCCTCAAGTGCGAACGTAATATGTGAACCACGCCTTAGACTTTTATCATTGAATTTTTGTTGTTGTTTTTAGATTAATTAAAAAAAATGATAATTAAATATAATTTATTTTTTGAAAAAGCATAAACATTATTATTATAATTATATATATCAATATTATAAGTAGTTAACAAACAAAAAAATTATATCAATAAAATTGTTTGTCATATCTCTCTATTAATAATTAAATCTATCAATTATTTTATTATTTTTTATTATTGATATTTTCAAAATATATTGTATATCAAAAAAAATTTATATTAATCTAACATATTTTTTTGAAAGTTATTTTTATTGTATTTAATCCATAAGTGGAATATTTTTTCAATTTTATCAATTTTTGTTGCAATTGTTAAAATAATTTTTTTTTTAATTTTCTTTATTACATTACAAAACTTTAATATAACTATTTAATMTAATAAAAAAATTAAATACTTATAATTTTTTTTTTAATTTTCTTTATTACATTACAAAACTTTAATATAACTATTTAATATAATAAAAAAATTAAATACTTATAATTATGATAAAAAAAACTTTAATGACAACAACAAAAATGATTAAATGTTTCAAATATTTTATATTTATCTTTTTGTTATGTTTTTTTTTTTGAAAAAATTAAGTACAAAGTACAAAATAGTTGCATAATAGCTAAATTTAAAGATTTTTTTTTTTAATAAAAAAAGCAAAATTTTTATTTGTAAATAATTTTTAGTATCATTATTATATCTAATGCATTGTTTTTAGATATATAATAGTTTTATAAGAGTTAATAATTTTTTAAATATTTAACGTAATAATAGTAATTATAAATTATTAATTCATAATATTTAAATATAAGTAATATATATTGGTAACATATATTATAAATCTAACATTATTTTTATATATATTAAATTTTTAATTTTTATTATAAATATTTATAATAATAAAAAAGATAAATATAATTTTAAAATAAAATAATAAATTATTACTTATAGTTATATTTAATTATTAAATTGTAAACTATATATATATATTTTAGTATAGATTATTTATTATAAATAATTTATAATTTTAAATGAATAATCATAAAAGTATATGCTAAAATCTTTACTTAAATAATATCTATAAATTGAGTTTATTATGTATTAATATATTTAAAAAAAATTTTTGCAACTTCATTTATAATAATAATTTAGTAATTTATGTTTTATTTTTGTTAAAAAATTAAAATATTACAAATTATATATATATATATTAATAATTATAATTATATAACGATAATAAACAAAAAAATTTTTTTTCCATAACTACTGATAAAATAAAATAGTTTCTATAGAAATCTTATTTAAAATCTATTATTATTTTTAAAAAAAATTATTTAAAAAAAGCAAAACAAAATCTTAACAAGATAAATCATTTATTTTATAATATATAATATAAATTTTCTTAGTTAATTAATATTATATATATATATAATACATATAAATAACTCATATATTTGTTTTATTTAGAAAAATAATACGTAATTTTAAAATAATATAATAATAAAAGCATGTTTTTCCTTATAAATATTTTAATAGAAATATCTATAAAACAATTAATAATTTAGTTATATATTGAATTGAATTGAATTTCAAATTTTAGAATAACAAAAAACAATAATAATGAAAAATATATTCATAATTATTAATAGTTAAATTATTTTAGACTGCTGAAATTTTTATTAATAATAATTTTTGTCATCTATAAATCATATATCAATTATTTAAAGATATTTTTTTTAATTTTAGGTTAATGATGTCCACCACCACCACATACATGTCCACAGCTATTGTAGCAATCGTTTTCATCCTTAAAATTATTACCATTGCCCTGACAACCAGAAAATAGAAACTGTTGGCACCTACCGGTGCCTGAATTGCAAAACCATCTAGGATATGGTATCCTCCTGCACCAACCACGTTTGGGTGCTAATAGACAATCTATTATTTTTTTGATAATTATAATTATTAAGTAACAAAAAAAAGAAAAAAAATTTAGTGTAAAAATAAATTAAATTAAAATAAATAACTTAAAATAACAAAAATTATCTTAATTGCATATATTTTTTTAAAACATAATTACCAATTAATTTAATTTTGTATTAAATTAAATTATATTTTTTTAATAACTATTTAGGTTGTTATTTTTGGGGTTTTATTTATTATGGGGGATGGTGGGGAGGGGAGTCTAGTGTACGTTCGATCAACTTAAATTATGATTGAAAAATTTTGATTAGGACTAGGGTAGAAAATAATATTTTTTTAATTGTATTTTTAGACGGCAATTTATTTTTTTTAAAAAAGATCATTAAAAATATCCCTGATATTCCCATGTAAAATTCACATATGTTCCCCGTTTCGCAAATATCACTTTAAAAAAATAAGTTAATATATTATATACGAAAAATATTCACACATTTCCATTTTTGTCATATTTTTCTAATTAATAATTTTTTTTCTTATAATATCTTAATTAATAATACTAAAAATACCTGGATTATAATTAGTTTTGTCCATGTGATTTTTTTCGGGGGGTAAAATTTCTAATTTAAAAAAAATAAAATAATTATTACTCAAATATATTTTATTAGAATATTATTATATTATTAAGTTACTCTATACCATACAATAGCATAGCAATTGACAAAAAAAACCAATAATAGTTTAATAATCAAATTTTTCTATTGTTATGCTTAAAAATAAAATTTATTTAATTGTCTAATATGTTATAAATGCAACTTAAAATATAGATTTAAAACTTAGATCTCAACAATATATATATATTTTTTCAAAATAAAAATTTACACAAACTGACCCTTACATATTTAGCACCTATTTATGCTCTATATATACTACAGTATTACCTGTATTATATACCGGTGCTGCTAATCCAGATGGTTGGCAATAATATAAACAGCTAGTATAGCACATAAATTCTGTTTTAAAATTATTATTATTACCGCCACCACCACCACCACCACCCACGCAACCACCATAGTTAAACTGTTGACAGGTATCGTCGCTTGAATTACAAAACCATCTAGGTTCAATAGCTTTACAAACACCACCATCACCAACAGCATCGATGGGTGTTAATTGACAATCTTGATTGATTAAACAATTTTTAGTTTAAAAAAGAAATTAATTTAAAATAAATATATATATCAAAAAAAAAACAAAAAACATTAAAATATTAAAATATTTTTTTTTAATTAAATCTTTATACACATATATATCATATATATATTTTTGTTTTAAATAATTGAAAAATAATTTCGATATATATATATATCTGATTGATTGAACAATTGTTAGTTTTAAAATAATATATATATATCTTGACAAAAACATTAAAAATCTTTATACATATATATCATATATATATATATATATATATATATATATATATTTAAATAATTGAAAAATAATTTCTATATATATCTGTGAGTTATATATTATTTTTAATTAAAAAAAATATTTCAAAATATCCTCATACCTGTATTAGAATCTGGTGAAACAATTTTGTCCCTGCTACTTTTAGCTAATAAACAATAATAATAATAATAAGTTAATTAATTGTTTGTTTGTTTGAGTGGTTTTATATTTAAAAAATATTTTTTTAAAAAAATTATAATTATCTGTACATATAGATACTGTATATAAGTAATAATAATAACAATAAAATACCTGTTTTATAATTACTTAGATGACCATATTGTCTATCTGGATAACAAAAAAAATTATCGTAAAAATTGTAAAATAATAGAAATAATTAATTGCATATATTTATTTAATGTGTATATTAATACAACAACAATAAATCATTAAAATTATATTTTAAAAATGTGAAATATTTTTTTTTATAAATATAAATCTATATATAAAAATAGAAATAATCAATTGCATATATATTTTTGTTTCTTATTTATTAATTTTAATTATCTTGTCATCAATAATTTAAAAAAAATTAATAAAATTGTATCATTTTTTAAAAAATAACTGATTATATCAGATAATTAATATCTTGATAATTATTTTTACATTTTAAAAAAACAATCAACTTTAAACATATCTTCTATTGCATACAATTTAATTATACAACAAATAAGAAAATTTTATCTAATTTAATTTTAAGACTTAATTAATTAATAATTAATAACTTAATAATATTATTACTTAATTATAACAAAAAATTATTTATAAAACTATTATTTTAAATAAAAATAAATTAACTGTATTTTGGTTAATTAATTTTTTTTGGTAACAATAAAATACAATTATTAAATAAAATAAAAGTCTAGACCCTCTATACACCCACTCTGTTAATTATTTAATATTCATTTAATTGACATTGAATAATAATAATAATAATAATAATAATAATAATAATAATAATAATAATAATAATAATAATAATAATAATAATACCTGGATTATAGTTAGATTTGTGCATATGTTTTTTGGGGGGTAAAATTTCTATTTAAAAAAAATAATTTTGTTTATTAAAAATTATGATTAATATAAATACATGGTAAAAAAATTATATATTAAGTAAAATAATTTATTTCAATAATTTATTTAGCATTTATTTATTTTTTGAAACTTTTATATATAGTTTTAGTATAAATGCTAAAAAAATATTTATTGAAAAATATTACAATAATTATTATTTTTATTAAAAAATCTTTGTTAAAAAAATTTAAAAATTATTATGTAAAAGTGTTTATGTATGTTTATATTTTTAGATTTTAATTTTGACAAAACAAATCTAGCTAGTACAAATATTTCAAATAATAATTTAAAGTTTAAAACAAAAACATACATTTAAAAAAGTTAAATACTATAAACATGTTTTATATAGTATTATATATACTCTAAATTGTTTTATAATTATAATTATAAAAAATTATTTTATAAAATAAAGTTTATAATTTTAGAAATTTTTTAAAAAAAATACCTAAATCAGAATCATCTGGATAAACTTTGTCCATTTAATTTTTTTTGTTAAAAATTAAAAAACAATAATAATAAATTAAATGCGTTTGTTTGAGTTTTTTAAAAAAAATATTTTAACAAATAATAATCAAAAAAAAATATATAAATATTTTTTTAATTTTAATTATATGTACATGTACACATATAAGGAATAATAATAATAATAATATTACGTGTAATATAATTAGTTAAATGATGACCATAGTTTCTATCTGGATAACTTATTTCCCATTCATCATAATCATTATTTTTCAAATCAAATATATCTATAGTAATAATATTATTTAATTTAATTTTATTTTTTTAATTTAATTAATTATTAAAATATATATATTTAAAAAAAAATTTTACTTTCAATTAGTCTCAATAGTCTAGCTTCCTCTCTATTTGATAGGGGCAATTTTTGAGCATGATAATTGTTTGGATTAATTATTACAAACAAAAACAACAATAAAAATAATTTAAAAATTAAATGCTTTTTAATAAAATTAGCCATTTTTTAAAATAAATAAATTATTACTAGTTTTTTTTTAATTATTTTTTACAACATTATATCAAATTATTTTTAAAAAATAACTATTAATATATGTAGAGTTTAGACAACTTTCCAAGTGTTATGGAAAGTTCCCTATTTTAAAATTATTTTAATTTTTTCCCTAATTTTTTTTATTAAAAAAATGTTTTATAATCACTTAGTTAATTTTTATATTTAATTTATTACAAGTAAATACTACGAAAATTTTGTAAATATTATTGAAATTATTTAATATATATATATATATATATTTGATAAAAATTTGTGTTACTATTCAAACTATTAGATTTATTATAATTATAATTTTTTTTTTTAAATCTTATTTAATTTGTTGTTTTTACTATTTTTACACAATAAATTAATTGGGAATTTCCTAGGGAATCAAGAAAATAGTGAATTTTTTACATAATGAAATGTTTAAAACTAATTTTGATGAAACTTTATTAATTAATAATGTATTGAATACTATATTGATATATATATATATATATACATACATATATATATACTTTATAACACATATGTTTGTTTGATTTAGAAAAATAATTGAATAATAAACATGTTTTTTTTAATTATAATTATTTTAATAGTATATAAATATAAAACAAACATATATATATATTGAATAGTAATTTTTAAACAAAAAAAAATAAAAATTATTGTTAAAACAAATTTCTAATAAAATTAAAATAAATAATTTTTGTAATTTATTTATTTAAAATATATAATTATAAGTATTTATAATATACATAATATGTTATTATTTTATAACATTAATAATTTAAAATTATAATAATTAGATAAATATTTCTAAAAAAATATTTATTTTTTTAAATATTTAAAAAACTGTTACATTATTTTTTAAATTTTAATTAAAAAAATATTTTGTTTGTTTGCTAATAAAAAATACTGCAAATATTTCACATTTATTACAGTAATAACACAATAATATTTAAACGGTTGGATTGGTTGCTTAAGGTCTCCGGTGCTGACTCGACGTTATCGGCACCAAAGTGTTGTCGGTCCTAGCGTTGAGTCGGCACCAATCCATAGTAGTGATGACATCTGCGGCCACGGTATGGATCTGGCGTTGAGCTGTGACGGCTTTGATGAGCCGAACGTGATGAGCGGTGTATCAGCCTAAGTGTTGAGCGGTGCTGTATCGGTCAATGAGCTTAACGGTGCTGTATCGGCCTAAGTTCTGAGTGGTGGTGTATCGGCCAATGTGTTGAGTAGTGGTGGTGGTGATGGACACGGGAAAATGGAACACGCGACTGACACGGCAAGAGAGCCCAGAGATGAAGTGAAGAGAGAAAGTACGGGCCAAAGGCCCAAATGACTTACTCGTGACTTATAACCAAAACCGAGATTTATTTAACACTTATAAAATAAAACTAATACAATGTGATACACTATACTAGTGTATCGGAGAGTCGAGTGGCGGCAACCGACCAGTTCAGTAGTTAGACAACTTGTGTCGAGCATTTCACTCGACTGAGAGCTCAGCAGTCTGATCGCTGCATAAGCCACTGCCTATTGCGCGCGCAAACTGCTAAACTCTGTATTCATATTTGATGACAACTTTTACATACACTACTACTTTGCTCTTATTGGTTAATTTAAACTCTGCCTATTTTTGATCAGTCGCACACTACCACCTAAAATCAAATTTTCATTTGCATTAAAATACAATACACAAGTGCGCATAGAAATTAATTAATTCATTAATGTTAAAGTATAGGAAACAAAAACCCTTGTTAACCCCTGTATATAAAATATTTAAACCAATGGTTAAATAGCATTTACTGAAACGCAAGTGCGTCACTGCATTTACTGACACTATATGTGTTACAAACTAAACCTATATGTTTGTATGTTAAAGTATAGCTAATGTTATTTCTATGGCAATGTTAAACCCATATTTATAATAGTGAATGTGCCGCTAATGCAATTCCTATGGGTATAGTAAACACATACTTTATAATACTAAATAACCCGTTAATGTTATTTCTATGGGAATACATATCTCATATTAACTATGTATTTAATACACTAAAGCATTACTGTAGTTAAAACATATGAGAAGTTATATAAGTAATTAAATTTATAATTTGAGTACATTTACTATTGTTTTAAGTGATCTATTATTATTCCGCTACATTATTATAAATATACTTTATATAAAGTATATTTTTTAAGAAATGTATTAGTTATATAATGTTATTTATTTTTATAAATAAAAATCATACAATGAATCAAAATAATAATAGTATTTTAATTATGTTGCTTAAATATATCAACTATACTGACAACATTTATTTAGAATATAACATCAATAATAATAATAATAATAATAAATTTAAACTAATAATTATTATAAAAATTCTAATAAATCTATTTGTCATATGTTTAATAATCTATTGTTATTACAATAATATGTTAATTAGTTTATTTTATATTTCATTATTAGAGTTTCAATCAACAAAATCACAATTACTACATTTATTATATAGTAATTTTAATTCTTACATAATAATTTTATATATTTATTAATTTAAAAAAACATTAATTATCGTATATCTTGATAACACTTTAAGATAATAGTTTTGTATGTATGTATGTATGTATATGTATGTATGTATGTATGACACCTTTTCCCAACAACCATATTTTAATTCAAATCTAAAAATGTATTGTTTCTTTGCAGTTATTTTATATATATTTTCAATTTTTATTAAAAGTAATGTGATTTCTATGTGAAATTTTAAATGTTTATTGAACTCAGGTAGATTTTAGGCTCATGTAGGCATAAGATATATAATAATATTTTGATATATTGTATTAGTCATAGGGCACCGGGAGGTTAGCTACTTGTGGTAAATTTATATAAAATTAACTAAAATGCAAAAATGTTCACAAATATTTTTATACTGTATTGTTAATATTTTTTTAATTTATAAATAATTAATAAAATTATTTTAATTATTTTTGTTTTAAATAGAAATTTTAACCAAAAAAGCATATGGAGAAAACTATTAATCCAGGTAAATAAGATATTTAATTATAAAAAATTTTACTTATAAACTGAACAATATTGGTAGTGGTTGTATAGTATAACCTAACTTAAATGTAACTTTATATATTGCATTATGTTTAGCTCAGCATAGAGATTGCAGTCCAAAATTAATTGAAAAGTTTATAGATTATTTAATATTATTGTAACTTATATTATGTTATTAAATTTATAAATTTTATATTTTTAAATATAATAAATACTATAATATATATAATAAATTCATTCATACAACAATTATTTCATAATATAAATTTTAATTTAATAAAATTTACTTTATAGTGTAAAATAAAAATAATTTTTTTAACATTAAAATAAAATTACTTCTTAAATAATTAATCATAATAAAATATAAAAATTTTAATAAAGAATTTAAAAATTTCTTTTAGAAATCAGTTAATAAAATAAATTTCAAGTCTACTTATAGAAATTTTTCAATAAAATTTCTGTAATAGCCAACATTGGTGTAGACAGCTGGAAAAAATGGGCTAGCACATTTCCTTCCGAAAGACACTATCCCAACTTGTACTGGAACAGTGCCATTCATTAATATCAACGGTCTACCTGAGTCACCCTAAAATAAATTATCAATCAATTATATTGTAAATTAAAAAAAATAATTTTATTATACAAAATTATAAAAAATAAAATTAATCCTTACATTACAGGAATCGCTTTTTTGGCTAAGATTATTAGCACAAATCATAGATTGCGTAATTATTTGTTGATCTTTTTCATACATTTTTTGACAATCAGATGGACTAACAACTGTCACATTTGTTTTCCTTAATCTATCGGACTCAGGTCCATTATCTCTTATAGCCCCCCAACCGGAAACAGTTAAAACAGTTCCAGGCAGTGGAGTATAGTTGTATGGCGCCAATTCAATAGGCCACGAATGGACAACATTTAGCTTTAATTCTTCTGCAAGCTTTACAATAGCCAAATCTGCTTCGCCAGTTATGTTATCAAATGCTGGATGAAGATAAATTTTGGCTATTGCTATTTTTTTACCACTATTTATATTGTCTAACCATCCATATTTTACAAAACCAATACCGCTATAATATAATGTTTTATAATCAAATTGTAAAATTATTATTATTAAAAATACTTACTGCATAAAACAATGGGCGGCCGTAAGAATTGTTTCGCCATCCAATATACTAGCGCCGCATTTATCTTCTCCATTTTTTTAGCAATACCATATATGGTATCTGATTTATTAAACTTTCTTTTCCATTTACAATTTTATAGTTAGTTTTTATTGTAATTGTAAAAGATATCAGAGAAAAAAATAGAAAAACTGCTATTTCTTTAAGCATTTTTTTATTTTTAATATAAATGTAATACTAGAATTTATAAACTAATTTTATATTAAAAATAAAATAAAAACTCAAGTATTTTATTGTGTATTATATGTGTTACTGCATAGTATTTATACATTTTAAATTTATATTAATATTATTTTTATATAAATACCTGAAAAAGATTTTTAATAAAAATTATAATACTGAAATTACAAATATATGCATGTTTTCAAGTTGTATTAGATTTTTAATTTAAAAAAATAAATTAATTTTATAATATATATATTGTATTATTAATTAAATTTTAAAAATATCAATTTTATAATAATACTATCAGTTTATTAATAATAATATAAATATTTATAATAAACTATTTTAAAGGATTTTATTAAAATTAAAATATGAATTAGTAATCAATTTTTTAAAACTAATTTGTCATTATTTAAAAAATTAATTAATATTTTACATGTACAAAATATAATTTTATTAACTATAATTATATAGATACTAAATAATATATTTTTTAAATATAAATAATTATTTTTTAAATATAAATTGTAGCATACAATTTTATAATTTTATAATTTATTTAATATTGTATCTTATTTTTAGTATTCTATATTCTATAAGTCTTTTTTGCACTTCATTATCATTAACCTTTTAATGCATACCTTTCCTTGAACTACCTCTCATTGACCACATCCAGTGGCTCCTCAATGACCGGTCAGTATCCATGGTAGGGATTATCAACTATACAAACCAACCCAAACCTGTATTTCCCGCCAAAACATACATCTATATTAACCCTATCCACTGTACATACACTGTCCAGTGCTTTACTGTTTCTCAGCCAGTGCTTTTCATACTATCTTACTGTGCACATATTTCAAGTCATTACTGCTACTAATGCCTCAGACAAGCCTCAGTACCTATACCTGTCCCATGCATACATTCCACGTGTTCTCTTAAATATCTACCAATTTAATCACCATTTGATTCATTGTTTTACAATAAACTTGTTATTTGTTATAAATCGTGTCTTCATATCATTAATACATATCAGTGATCGGTCTGACCGTTCAGTCCACTGATATAGTTTTCATCGCCGTAGCCTATCCTGTGCACAACGCCTAACAAACGTAACAGGCCAGTATTTTATATAGTATGTATGTTACCGGGGATAGGATCACAGTTTTAAGAGCACACCCTGGACGCTCCGAAATAGCCATCTGGTGAGTCAAACAGTCTATTTCTCCTGGATAACGCTACCAGTAGGACCATCTTGGCCTACTAAACCTTCTCCACATCAGCCCTTCCGCCAGGAGGTATATATATATATATAGACTTCAACTGATTATAAACTTACCGTTCGCTGGCCAACCACTCACTGTTAGGAGAAGACATATTGGAAATTAGGATCACACATAAGCTTAACTTTTTAACCACACCTGCAGATCGAATTTCATCACCTGTTGGTCTCGACTTACTAGTGATCTTATAGTGGATATCTGTCTCATATCGACTAGTATCTATGTCTTTGGTAATGATTAGACTGAAGTACAGGTTTCATACCGACCCACGCGAAGTACGAACGGAATATTAGGACATCTATTGTCTGAATAGACATTCCTCTGGAACTAAACAAAACTACACACAACAAAATAATTAAGTTTTGCATATAATTTTCTTATTAGATTCTTTATAACATAAAGTTATATTTTAATAATAATTAATTAATAAAAATAAATATTTTTTTTATAAATGATTACAAATTTTTTTATTGATATAATATGAATCATACGAAAAACAAGAATTAATAAAAACAAATGATTTTACAATTAATTATTACTTAAATTTTAATTATTAAGAAAAATAATTTTATAATTTTATTATATATATATTTAAAAATTTTTACATTAAATTAATAAATTACAGAAATAAAATGCCAATCAAGCAATAAAATACTCAAAAAATAAATATTCTGTAATTTTAAGTTATAATATATTTTTAAAAAATATTTAATTTAAAAGAATTATAATTTTATTATATAAATTTTTTATTATATAGCCAGTTTAGAATGCAAGAAAAATACATTACAGTAATAAAGCAATTAAATTAAGCAAATTAAATATAATACAAACATAAAAAATTTAATAAATTAAAAAATAAACATAATTTATTTAAAATATTCTTGAAATAAGATTTAAATTACAATACAAATTACTTATTTTATTAAAAATTTAAATATGTTTTTATAAACATTTTTAATTATTTTAATCTATCTATAAAAATGATAACAATTATTTATTATTTTTTAGTTTTTTATGTATAATTATTAATTTTTTATTTAATAGAAAACTGTTTTATATAATTTATTAAATTTATTAAATTTAGTGATAGTGTGGTTGTTATATTTAATTATATACAGCATATATATATATATTACATATATATATGCAGTCCTCAGCAACAAAAAATCTAATAAATATTTAAATAATATGCTTTTAAAATTAATTAGTAAAATTACAGACAGACAGAGAGACATAAAGAGAGAGAGATAGAGATAGAGATAGAGAGATAGAGAGACAGAGAGATAGAGAGACAGAGAGACAGAGAGACAGAGAGACAGAGAGACAGAGAGACAGAGAGACAGAGAGACAGAGAGACAGAGAGACAGAGAGACAGAGAGACAGAGAGACAGAGAGACAGAGAGACAGAGAGACAGAGAGACAGAGAGACAGAGAGACAGAGAGACAGAGAGACAGAGAGACAGAGAGACAGAGAGACAGAGAGACAGAGAGACAGAGAGACAGAGAGACAGAGAGACAGAGAGACAGAGAGACAGAGAGACAGAGAGACAGAGAGACAGAGAGACAGAGAGACAGAGAGACAGAGAGACAGAGAGACAGAGAGACAGAGAGACAGAGAGACAGAGAGACAGAGAGACAGAGAGACAGAGAGACAGAGAGACAGAGAGACAGAGAGACAGAGAGACAGAGAGACAGAGAGACAGAGAGACAGAGAGACAGAGAGACAGAGAGACAGAGAGACAGAGAGACAGAGAGACAGAGAGACAGAGAGACAGAGAGACAGAGAGACAGACCGCCGCTAACTATACCTCACAGTACGGCCCGCCTATTATTAGGATTATTAGCATTTGGCTGATACTCAATATAACCGCCACCCGAATCGCCACGATAGGGGCCCCGATAGGTTGCCGGATCGTATACAACACCGGCCATACCGGCCACACCCGGTGCCTGACTGGATAGGGCACAGAACTGGGAGTCCGGATGAAATTTATATCGAGGAGTGGCTATAATAGTAAAAAAAAGTGATTATTATTATTATAGGGGTATTAGAGAGACAGAGAGACAGAGAGACAGAGAGACAGAGAGACAGAGAGACAGAGAGACAGAGAGACAGAGAGACAGAGAGACAGAGAGACAGAGAGACAGAGAGACAGAGAGACAGAGAGACAGAGAGACAGAGAGACAGAGAGACAGAGAGACAGAGAGACAGAGAGACAGAGAGACAGAGAGACAGAGAGACAGAGAGACAGAGAGACAGAGAGACAGAGAGACAGAGAGACAGAGAGACAGAGAGACAGAGAGACAGAGAGACAGAGAGACAGAGAGACAGAGAGACAGAGAGACAGAGAGACAGAGAGAGAGAGAGAGAGAGAGACAGAGAGAGACAGACAGAGAGAGACAGAGACAGAGAGACAGAGAGAGAGAGACAGAGTCAGAGACATAGACAGAGATACAGACAAAAAGAATTTAAACACCATTTTAACTGAGAACCATTTTATACTGTATTTTATTTATTTTATAATTAAATTATATTGTTAATTTTGTTTATAGAAATTAGTATTTAAATTGATTTTTTTAATAGTGAATTGAATTGAATTTCTATTTTAGAATAACAAACAACAATCATAATGAAAAATATATTCATAATTATTAATAGTTAAATTATATTATTTTAAACATAAAAAAACTTAAATTTTTATTAAGAATAATTTTTTTATAACTATATAACATATATCAATTATTAATTTTTTATAGATATTTTTTAAATTTTATGTTAAGGATGTCCACCACCACATACATGGCCACAGCTATTGTAGCATTCATTTTCATCCTTAAAATTATTGCCATTACCCTGACATCCACTATAGAAAAACTGTTGGCACCTACCGGTGCCTGAATTGCAAAACCAACTACGAAATCTAGACCTGCACCAACCACGTTTGGGTGCTAATAGACAATCTAGTTATTATTTTTTTATTAAAATTAAAAAAACAGAAAAAAAATTTAATGTAAAAATTGTAAATAATAATATAAAATATTAGAAATTTGCTTAATTCTTTATATATTTTTTTGTTTAGTACAAAATTTCCAATTAATTTTTGTTTTTAATTGAGGAAATATACTCTAATTTGATCTGTCTATGACCGGTCAATATTCCCTCCAAACTTCTATCATTATAATATCATTAATAATGAGTTCTTAAAGTATCATAACTATGAAACCCTCAACCTTTACTATCAATAGACTAAATACGTGTTTATTGTTCCCTATATATACGTCTCTATTTCTATGTATCAAATCCCTCGTTTGTTATCTCTAAAGGGGTTACCCTTATATTATTTACTTATATTACTTATTAATTGTTATTTGTGTATAGTATATTGTATTATCGTAGATCGGTCTCAATTATCCCTCAATATTAAATTATATTTTTTAATAACTACTTATGATAAGTTATTTTTGGGTTAAGTTATTATAATTAATAATTTTTTTCTAATAATAATAATACCTTATTTAATAATAATAATAATACCTGGATTATAATTAATTTTGTCCATATGATTTTTTTCGGGTGGTAAAATTTCTATTTTTTAAAAAAAATAAAATAATACTTAAATATTTTATTAGATTATTACGACTATTACCTATATTATATACAGGTGCTGCTCCAGATGGTTGGCACTTATCTGAACAGCTACTATAGCACATAAATTCTGTTTTATAATTATTACCATTACCGCCACCCACGCAACCACCATAGTTAAACTGTTGGCACTCACTGATGCTTGAATTACAAAACCATCTAGGTACTATAGCTCTACAAAAAACAACATCGGGTGCTGAATCGCAATCTTGATTGATTTGTACAATTGTTAGTTTAAAAAAAATTAATTTAAAATAATATATATATATATATATATATATATATATATATATATATATATATATATATATATATATATAAAGGCGGTCAAATGATCTTGAGCTGCGTATTTTTTTGAATAACTTTTAAACGGTTAGAGATAATTTAATTATGTAAAATACATTTAATATTATCATATCGACCAAAACGCAAATTTCAAACGCAATCACAAAACTAGTATAACCAGATATACACAATATCGGGACCAACGAAAGACAAACGAACCAACGGAACACTATGCTACAGGTCAAACTGACAAATTTATTATGAATATTAAAAATTACAATAGTGTGATTTATATTGATAGTCGATTATTACGAAAACTAGTCGACGTATTAAAATGTTGTTTTTAGAATTAGTAATATAATTGAATATTTAATCTTATAAATATATAATAGTCATAAATAACGTCATTTTTATTTTATGATTATTTTTTATATTAACTTAACAAGCCATCAAAAAACAAAACTACCATGTGTTGTCGATATGATATTCTTAAATGTATTTTACATAATTAAATTATCTCTAACCGTTCAAATGTTATTCATAAAATACGCGGCTCAATATCATTTGACCGTCTTTTTACATAAATATTTTTTTGTTTTAAATAATTAAAAATAATTTCTATATATTTCAGTAAATTATATATTATTTTTTTTTAAAAAAATAACCTCATACCTGTATTAGAATCTGGGTAAACAACTTCCCTGTCCATGTTATTTTTAGCTAATAAATAATAATAATGTTAATTAATTGTTTGTTTGTTTGTGTTTTTTATATTTAAAAATTTTTTTTTAATTATAATTATCTGTACATTTAGATACTGTATATAAGTAATAATAATAATAATAAAATACCTGTTTTATAATTACTTAGATGACCATATTGTCTATCTGGATAACAAACAAAAAAATTATCGTAAAAGTTGTAAAATAATTGAAATAATTAATTGCATATATATATATTTTTATGTGTATATTAATACAAATTATATTTTAAAAATGTGAAATATTTAAAAAAAAATAATAATAAATCTATGTATAATAATAGAAATAATTAATTGCATATATATTTTTTATTTCTTATATATTAATTTTAATTATCTTGTCGTCAATAATTTTTTTAAAAACTAAATAAAATTCTAATAGGTCATTTTCTTTTTTAAAAAAAATAACTTTATGATTAGATCAGATAATTTATAACTATTATAACATTTTTTTTAAACAATCGACTTTAAACATATCTATCTAATGCATACAATTTAATCATACAACAAATAAATAAATTTTAAATAAATTTTATCTAATTTAATTTTAAGACTCTCACTTAATAATTATTCCCTAATTATAATTAAAAAGTATTTATAAAAAAATATTATTTAAATAAAATTAAATTAACTGTATTTTGGTTAATTAATTTTTTTTAGGACAATAAAATAATAAATAATAAAAGTCTACACCTCCTATACACCCACTCTGATAATTTATTTAATATTCATTAAATTATCATTTAATAATTATAATCTAATTAATTAAAAGATATATAGATAATTTAATAATAATAATAATAATAAAAATACCTGGATTATACTTAGCTTTGTGCTTATGATTTTTTTGGGGTATAATTTCTATTTTAAAAAAAATAACTGTTTATTAAAAATTATGATTAATAAAAATACATGTTAAAAATATATATATATATTAAATGAAATAATTTATATTCAATTATTTATTTAGCATTTATTTATTTTTTTTTAATACTTTTATATAGTTATAGTATAAATGCTAAAAATATTTATTGAAAAATAAAATAAACATAAATAAATATTACAATAATTACAATTATTTTTATAGAAAATCTTTGTTAAAAAATTTTAAAAATTGTTTATGTAAGAGTATTTATGTGTGTTTATATTTTTAGATTTTAGTTTTAAAAACAAATCTATCTAGTACAAATATTTTAAAAATAGTAATATTAAGTTTAAAACAAAAACATATATTTAAAAAGTTAAATACTATAAACATGTATATTATGTATTATATATACACTAAATTGTTTTATAATTATAATAAAATATTTTATAAATAATAAAGTTTATAATTTTAGAAATTTTAAAAAAATAATACCTATATCAGAATCATCTGGATAAACTTTGTCCATGTAATTTTTTTTTGATTAAAAATTAAAAAACAATAATAATAAATTAAATGCGTTTGTTTGAGTATTTTTTTAAAAAAAATATTTTAACAAATTATAATCAAAAAAAAATAATAATAAATATTTTTTTAATTATAATTATATGTACACATATAAGTAATAATAATAATACGTGTAATATAATTAGTTAGATGACCACGGTTACTATCTGGATAACTTATGTCCATTTCATCATCATCATTATTATTTTTCAAATCAAATATATCTATAGAAATAATTTTATTTAATTTTAATTTATTTTTTTAATTTAATTAATTACTAAAATATATAATATTAAAATAAAATTTACTTTCAATTAGTCTCAATAGTCTAGCTTCCTCTCTATTAGTTAGGGGCAATTTTTGAGCATGATAATTGTTTGGATTAATAATTACAAACAACAACAACAATAAAAATAATTTATAAATTAAATGCTGTTTAATAAAATTAGCCATTTTTAAAAATAAATTAATTATTACAAATTTTTTTACAACATTAGTTTATATCAAATTATTTTTTAAAAAATTACTATTAATATATGTAGAGTTTAGACAACTTTCCAAATGTGTTGGAAAGTTCCCTATTGTAAAATTACTTTAATTTTGTCATAATTTTATTTTAATAAAAAAAATGTTTTATCATAAATAACTTTATTGTTAATAACAATAAATTTAATATTTACTTTATTACAAGTAAATACTACGAAAAATTTGTTGAAAATATTATTGAAATTATTTAATTACAGTATATATATATATATATAAATTTGATAAAAATTTGTGTTATAATTCAAACATTACAAAATATTATGTTTATTATTTTTTTGTTATAATCTTATAATTTAATTTTTAATTTTTACTATTTAATATTACATAATGAAATATATTAAATGGGAATTTTTCAAGGAAGTACAGAAAATAAGGAATTTTTTTTTTAGTTAATATAACGTTTAAACAAACTTTGGTGTATTAAATACTATATAAATATCTTTAATATTTGATAACACATATGTTTTTTTTTTATTTATAAAAATAATTGATTAATAAACATGTTTTTAATTATAATTATTTTAATAGTATAAATAACTATAAAACATAAATATATACTGTATATTGAATAGTAATTTTTAAACACTAAAAAAGTATAAATTATTGTTAAAACAAATTTCTAATAAATTAAAATAAATTATTTTTGTAATTTATATGTAATTATTTCACTTACTCAATTACTAATTTATAATTATAATAATTAGATTTAATATATTTCTAAAATCTATTTAAAAATGTTACATAAATAAAAAAAAATAACAATAATTATCTAAAATAAAATAAAAATAATAATTATAATTTTAGTAACTATTTAATCTAACTGTAATTTTTTTTGATAATAATAATAATAATAATAAATTATATCTTATATTTCTTATTTATTAATAATCATTATTAATAGTTATTGAAAATTTATAATTGTTTTATTATAATATTTTTATTTTCAAATACTTGTTAATATATAATAATTAGATAACACTTGAGGACTACAAAAAAAACAAAACAAAAATAAATTGTTCAAGATCCTATTTTAGATAAATCAATGTATAATTATTATATAATAACATAATAACACACTTATACATACATAAAAACCGTTATAATATATCAAACATTTTTAATACCCATTATTTTATATGAGATAATATGAAATTATATATATATTCATATAATATTATATCCGTGTAATTAATTAATTAATATACAGTAATATTAATATATAGTTATAATATATATATATATATGTAATCAACAAAATAGTTTTATTAATTATATTAATAATAATAATTGAAATCAATATTATTGTTTTTTTTTGTGAAATCAAATTTTTTTTACATCATATAGACAATTGAATTACAATTATTATTATTAGTATTATTAAACTAAAATACTATATCATAATACAAATATTGAAATTATTATTATTGATATAAATATATATATATAATATATATATATATATATATATATATATATATATATAACAATTGAATTTATAATGTTATTGAAATTATAATTATAATTTCCAAATATATCCGGGACATAAATAAATAATAATAATAATAATAACAATAGATATACATTGTGGGGATATATATATATATATATATATATATATAAATTAAGTAATTATTATATCAATAATTGTTTTTTTAAACACATATCTTAAATGTTTAGTAAATTAATAATTAATTTTAAACAAAACAATAAAAAATTATTTCGCAATTCATATATTTATTTATTTTTTTTAAAACTAACTATTTTTTGTTTGTTATTTTTATTTAATAATTAATAAATAAATTATTTATTTTTAATTAATTAAAATATGTCTTCAACTGAGGGCTCATTTATTGAGGATATGATCGACAATACTGGAGGTTCAGCTGATATCAAGTCGACAGGCAGTACAGCTCCGGCCAGTCGTCATCAATGGTATGGATGTCATCATCAGCAGAGGATGACAGGGATGTGCTATTGTAGTGGCATTAATAGCTACCTGTGCTATTAAATAATGGTGTCCAGTGATTATTATTATTATTATTATAATTATTAATTTATTTAATTGCAATAAATATATACTGTATATACTGTCCATTATATACATGTTTAACAAACAAAAAAATATAATTTAATATTTACAGTAAAAGTAATTTTTTTTTAAATTTTTTTTTGTATACTATATTAGTAAAACTAAAAGTATTTATAAAAATAATTACTTATTTATTTTAATATAAATTTATATTATTGTTATTTTAGCTAAATAACTAAATTATTTTCAAACTAATTAAAATACAGCAGTATATTATATTAATAATAAATTTTACATATTTTTTTATGCAAAATTTTATATTTAGTTTTATAAATTAAATAGTTTTTTTTATCTAAAATAATAATAATAATAAAATTTTAATTTATACCCGCTAGTTTTATTATTTAACAATAATTATCATTATTTTATCTATAATAGTTTAAATTATTGTATATAGATGGAAATAATTTATATATATACAGTTATAAATTTAAATAATAAAATAAGATACAGTTATTTATATATTAATTTTTAAATGTCATTGTTTTTGATTATACTGTACATACAGTATATACAAATAAATAACTTTAATGATGATTAAGTTAAAAATATATAAGTATAATAAATATATATATATATATATATAACATTATTATCATTATTAGTATTTTATTTTTACTGTATTAATAATAGATAATTTTTAAAAAAAATATTTACTGAGAATTTATTTTTAAAATATGTCACAAATATGATTATTATTATTATATATAAATGTCTTATACATATAAACTCAATATAATAAAAACATTTTTTAAAAATACTTTTTATTAGTTTGTTTGTTAATAGTTGTTAATAATTTTATTTACAATTAATAAAAATTAATTTTTTGATAAAATTATATATTTATTTTGTTTTCAAAGTTTTTTTTTGTTATTGTTGTCAATAGTATTATAAAAATTAATTTATAAATAATAATAATAATGTAAAAATACCAACAAAAAAATGCAATTTTGTTGCTAATTATTGTAAAAATAAAAATATTATAAATTAAAAATAATTAATTAATTATTAACTCAGCAAGTACAATATATTTTATTATTATTATTATTATTATCATATATAAGTTATATATAAATTAATTAAATATTAATGACACTTAATCATATGGATAGTTATTATTAAGATAAAATAATAATAATAAAAAATTATTTAATAATTATATCATATTAACTAAAAACTAAAAAAATGTTTTATCAATCAAACAATTAATATAATAATAATAAAATTTTATTGACATTTGAAAAAAATAATAACAATTTTATATATATATATATATTTGTTATATTAACACAATTTTTGTTTTGTTTTACATAACTATTTCAACTAATTTATTTGTGGTGTATATGTGATGTACCCGTTCAGCAATACTACCGACACTATCAATAATACCGACACCAACAACAACAACAACACGACTGTCCTATTGAAAGTCAACCGATGGTCAGTGTTTACCGTATCGCTGATACTGTCGTGTGTGTCGATAGTATTGGTGGCCATCAGTGAGGAAGTGGCCAACGATTACTATCCAAACCATATCAATGATAAGGTATTTAATTTCAATTTTTTTTTTAAATTAAAAAATAAATATTTATTTTAATTATTACAGTATTAGTACTGTATAATTACTAATTAACAATATATACTGTATATATTATTTGACATAGCTAATATAATTAAATGTAATATATTGTATATATATATATATATATATATATATATATATATATATATATATATATATATATATATATTACATTCAAATATGTTAAAATAATATATATATATATATATTGTATTTGTGTTTAAAAAAAGTTAAAATAAATAAATTTTTTAAATGTCTCAATTATTTCTCAATCAGTTAACTATTAAGTTATAAAATTTTATCTGTATATATATATATATATATATAGTTTATTATTGTATAATTAATAAATAACAGTTTTAACAGGTTTTTAATTTTAATTAGAAAAATATTTATTTACATAAATATAATATTATTAGTATTTAATAATTTAATATTAATAATAATAATAATAATTATTATTATTACAGTATAATCGTTGTATTATTGTTTAGTTTGCAATAATAAATGCATATTTGTTTAAATTAAATAATAATAATATAAATAATAAATAATTTTTTTAAGTTAATTTTTATCATTATTAATTATTTATTTTTTTTAATAAATTCAATTAACTTATAATTAAATTTGTAAAATATCTAATTATATATATATATATATATATAAATATTTAATTAATAATATATTTATATTATAGATAGTCTTACGATTCATACTAATCGGTTTGGGTATTGGCGGCGAAATACTATCCCTAATCGGACTGTTCGGGTCGTACTATGGCCGCCGTGGGCTACTACTGGCCACCAGTTTTCTGACAACATTGGCCACGTTTGTCGGCTTTGGGTTGGCCACACATTACCGATCGTTGTTTATACTATGGCTGGTCACCTGTCTGGACATTGCCCTATCATTGTCGGCCCATTTGCTGACAGTATTGTTGTTTTTGAATACAACTACTAGTGGTAGTGGTAGTAGTAGTAGTAGTAGTAGTAATAGTAGTAGCAATACATCCCTGACCAATGTTGAGCCAACTGTCCATTATAGTGGTGGTGTTGGTAGCAAATTGCTGGCCGCCTATAATCAGCCGCCAGCCTATGAACCGCCGCCACATTATAGCCAACTATATCTAAATGTTGTTAGCAATGGTGATGGTTGTGGTGGTAGTGGTGGGGAACTGGAGGTATATTTAGATAGTAGTAGTGGTGGTGATAGTGGTAGTGGTAGTGATGGTGTATATACACCACAACAGTTCAATACAATATCAAATGTTTATCGTATATAATAATTAAATAAAAAAACTTTTTTATATTATTTAATATTATTTTTTATAAAATTTTTTTTATTATTGTTGATTACATTTTTTTTTGCTACCAATAAGTTACTAATTAATGTTATATATATTAATATTTTATTTGTTTGAAAATTGGTTTGATAAATATAAATAATAATTATAAATTGAACTTGAACAGTACTGTAATTTATTTATTGTTATACAAACAAACATTAATTGTTTATTTTGTTAAAATAAAAATTAATATATATTTTATAATAGTGTAAAATAATTTATTAAATAATAATAATAATAATAATCTATTAATAGGGTTAGATTTTATTTGTATTACAAAAAAAATATCAATTAAGTTATTATTATTATTAAGTAATTGATAAAATTAAATTATTTGTTGCTATATAGTAATAGTTAATGAACTATATTATTAACATTATAAAGTTAAAAGTATCAAGGTACAAGTATAATTTTTACTATAAAATACAAATAATATAAAAATTATTTTTTTTAAATAAAATAATATAATATGCTATTGATACAATGTTATTTTTATTTTGAATAAAAAACAAAAAAAAATAATAAACTTATAATTTTACTTTTAATTATTATTAGTTAAAATTAAAAAAAATATTAGACTATTAGACAAACAACAAAATATTAAACAATTAGATATTTATTTTATACATTAGTTTTTTTATATATATAAATTGATTATATATATATATATATAATTAGCTATAAAAAAATTACTATTAAAAAAACAATTGATAAGATTTCCATAGTTTTCATAGTATTCAATAAACTCTATTAGTCTCTAATCAATAGCTTATTGTTTGATAGGATATATTAAAAAAATGTTATAATTTTTATCTCATATTTTTTATATACAGATCTTACCAATTGCTTTAGGTATTGGCAAAAGTATAAAGTGTTCGATATATTTTTCTATATCATATTATTCACCAACTATTCAATAGCATATGTTATGAATTTTATCAAATTATCATTAATAGTTTCAAAGTTATCAGACACTTTATCAAATATGTGAAATTTTATCTTTAAAGATCAATATTTTCAATTCCTGTGGTAAGTCTGACTCATAAAATGAACATGTGCTTCTTCAACTATTACTCTTTTATTCGTAAGTTTTTCGGAATTATTTTCTTAGAGATTAAAATTTAATCGACATTTTTTCAAAGTCACCTCAATTGACAAACCAAAAATTATTAGGTACAAATTGACAAAATTGCTTTTGTACAGCTAATTCTATAAAATATTTTTATAACTGTTATGTGCGTAAAAAGCCTGACTATTACTCCTACTCATGACATATACTAATTTAATTTATGATCAGCAGTTGTTTCCTGAATGAATCGTCTTTACAAGTGGTCATTAATGATATTTGGTCAACTTTTAAGCTTTATTGTTTTTTTCTGAATTAATTTATATTTAAACTGATACTGGTATAAAAAACTTTATTATCTTGTGAGTTAACTTTGATAAGTTTAAGAAACAATATTTGTTTTTTTTGTTTATAATTTTAAGAAAAAAATAACGTCCCAAAATTTTGCATATTTAGTATACAAAATATTCAACGACAAGACCTTTTTTAATTACAATAACTTTGAAACTATTAATGATATTTTGATAAAATTCATAACATATGTTATTGAATAGTTGGTTAATAATACAATATAAAAAAATAAATCAAATTCTTTATACTTTTGCCAATACCTAAAGCATTTGGTAAGATCTGTACAGTATATCTATATTATATTATATATGTTTTAATACGTTTTAAGTTATTGGAAAAATTATTATTATTATTATTATACAATTGTTAAAATAATTTATTATATTAAAAAAATATATACTTTAATACACTGTATTTTGTGGGTTGTTATCAATTTATAAATTGAAAAAAAAATCCCATAATTAATAATAATAAAAAAAAAGTATTATCTTAACTATAAAAATAATAATAATTTTTTATTAATTTTATTATTAATAACCAAAAAAAAATTAAATAAATAACAGTACAACATCTTAAATAATTAATTAATAGTTTAAAATAGTAATAATAATTATTATTATAATTATTATAACATTTGATTTATAGCAATGACAAATCAAAAATATTTTATCTAATAATTAATTATTTATTATTATTTTTTTAATTAAATTTTTATATAAATTCTATATTATTATTATTATTGTTTCTAATTTTATCAGTGTTTGTATTTTATTAATTTATTTTTAAAAAAAAAAATAAATTGCTATTAAAATTTAGCTACAAAAATTAATTAAATACAACAACAACAAAATGATCTCGGTAAAATTACGACATATTCAGCTAATATTTTTATCATTGTTGGCACTGATGATGATCATCGAAATATTGATACCTGTTTTCAGTGAAAAATTGGCCGAAATTTTCATCATTGAGCCCCGATCTAGGGTTTGTATATATCTATATCAATATTATTAATTAATTCAAAAAAAAATATATTAATTAATTAATTAATTAAATAAATAATATTTATCTTATACTAATAATTTAAACTGAAAATAATAATAATTATTATTATTATTAATTAATTAATTAATTAATATTTATTTTATACTAATAATTTAAACTGAAAAAATCATTCATTCAAATAAAAATAATTATTATTAATAATTAATTAATAAAATATATATTTAATTAAAATTCTAGGGGAAAAAAGGTTATTGAGTACAACAAACAAAATAATTGATAATTATAAATTTTTTTAAAGGTTATCACATTAATTATTTTTTTTATATATATATGACAGTTAAAATGTTAAGTAATTATTTAAGTAACTACTTAAACAATCATCAACAAAATTATTTGATTATTTATATATACTGTATATATATTGATATATATATATTGATATATATAAACACTATAATTGATGTTAATTTTTTTTTGTTATTGTTAGATAATTATGATTATATATATATATTTTTTATTTTATAAAAAAAAACATTTTAACAAATAGTTTAATTAGTCCGTAAATCTATCTAGTTTAGTTTAGTGTCTAGACACTAATTACAAATCAAAACAAAAAATAATATTATATAATGTATGAAAAAAAACTTAATAATATAATCCCCTTAATACTGTATACCCGGTATTTAATAGGAAACTAATAATAATACTACTAATAATATTATAAATTATATAAATACAGTACTATATATAATAATTAAAACTATTTAATTAATAATAATAAAAAAGGTACTAAATATATAAATTTTTAAATAATATAAAAAAATTAATAAAATTTTCCACAAAAAACAAATAATCATAATTAAAATTAAAATAAATACAATATTAATATGTAATTAAAATATTTTCAACAAAAACATTTAAATAATTTATTTTAATTATTATTTAAAAATAATATTTTCTAATTAAATCAGGCATTTCATTCAAATATACAGTTTATCCTATTTAATAGAAACTAATAATTATATTATAAATTATATAAACACTATATATATATAGAATAATTAAAACTATCTAATTAATAATAAAAAGGTATTAAATATCTTTTTAAAAAAAACATTAAAAAAATTAATGAAATTTTTCAAACAACAAAAAATAATAATTAATAATAAAATAAATACAATATTAATATGCAATAAAAATATTTTAATTATTTAAAAAAAATAATATTTTCTAATTAAATTAGGATTCATTCTAACATACAATATATCCTAATTAATAGAAACTAATAATTATATTATAAATTATATAAACACTATATATAATATCTTTTAAAAAAAAAAACATTAAAAATTTTTTAAAAATTATTTTCTATAATTAAATTAGGATTCATTCAAAACGGATCTCTATGTCGGATCAGTCTATACTATAGTTGTCTGTCTAATGGGACTGATTGGCCACTATCAGCACAGTTACAATATAACCAGGGTGTTCAACTTGTTTCAGGCTATGAACTGTATATTTTCCCTGTATATAGCCATCCGGGTATTTAGCTTATCCATACTGATTGTATTGAATCTGGGCCTGTTGTATATGGGTTGTAAATACGAGCGCAGCCTAAAACGCCAGTTCCAACAACAACAACAACAACAACAACAAAATAATAATGATACTAATAATAATAATAATAATCAAAATGAACATGGTGCTAATAATAATATTAGTATCATCTATGGCAATGGTGGATGCCTATTTAATAATAATACAGGTGCTCATTTGGATCCATGTCCAGTCTATGAGGCACCTCCATTGTATAGTGAACTAGAAAAAGCTAACTGTGCTTAAATAATTTATTTTTAATTTTTTAAAAAAAAATTATTATTAATGTTTATTATTATTTATATATATATATATATTTATATTTTATATAAATAATATTAATTATTATTATTATTATTAATGTTAATTAATTGTTAAGTTAGGTTATATATATATATACAATATATTGTATTTTTTGTTGTTGATGTTTTAATTAAATGTTTAATTTAGTTTTTTTTTATTGTTGTTGAATTCAAATTGTTATATGTTATTTATATTTAGTTTTTTTTAGTTTCAAATAAAATTTATTTATTTATTAAACTTATTGTTATTATTATATTCAATATTTATTGTAATAATATTTGTTGTGGGTTTTTTTTAATATTAAAAATTGTATTTTAGCAAAAAAAATTTACTTTGATTTTTAATACTATATATTAAATAAACTAATCTATTAATAGCACATATAGTTTACAAATATGTTTTCAATGGTAGTCTATTAAAAATATATATAAGTAATCCAATTTAATTTTTTATATATAAAAAAATAAAATTTTTCAATATTACTATTAATATTATTATTTTTTTTACAATACAATACACTACATGAAAATCAAAAATAAATAAATAAAAATTCAATTCAAGTTGAATTTAAGTGTCTAGTTTAATACCAAATAAAAACAAAATTTTTTAATATATTACATAAAAAAAATTATTTTTTGTTATCTAGGTCAATTGGGATTTATTTTGAAATATTTTTATATAATTTTTTTTTTAAAAAAAGTAAATACTTAACACTAACACAATATACTTAATATACAACATATATACTGTATATACAGTATATACAGTATTATTCAAAAATAACATTTAATATATACTGTATTATTTAATACCTATTATTTTATTATTATAATATATTGTATATACAGTATATTATATATTAGAAAATAAAATAAATAAAATTTTTGTAATACAATTAGTCTAATCTAACTTTTCTATAAATATATAAAATATATTTATATTACTATTGTATTTATCAGTATAAATGTATAAATAAATTTTGGTTACTCGGCTACTAAATTAATATATATATATATACAGTATATATGTATATATATTGATATACAATATTTAAATCATATAATAGTTGCTAACAAAAAACAACAAAACAAAAACTATAAGTTATTAACTATATTTACTTAAGTAAAACATTATTAACTATTTATTATTATTATTATTATTAACTGACTAATTATAAATAATATTAATAAATTTAAGAAAAATATTATTTTAAACTATATGTATATTTTATTATTATTATTAATAATATAATAATTAATGTTTTGAATTGAGTTATTTTTAAAAAAAATTATCATTAAACTAATTATGTTATTATATATATATAWAWAAAAATTATTTTACTTTAAGTATAATTTAATGGATAAATACGTGATATTTTGTTTAAATATTTAAATTATTTATCTTTTATTTTAAATAAATTAATGAAAAATTATTATTATTATTATAATTTAAAAAAAACTAATATTTAGCAATATTTTTGAAATAACATAATAGTATTTACGTATTTAGTATAATATAAATAGTAATATATTAATCATAATTAACTTATTAGTAAATTATTACTGTATAACTATAATAAAATTTTTTAAAATATATTGTTGATAATTATCCTAAAAATTTAAATAAACTATTTTTTAGTTATGAAATAAAATCTATTATTATATAAATAATTTTTTTTAAATCAATAATTACAACAACAAAATATTTGTTAAAATATTTATATATTACATAACATTTTTTTTAATTTATAACTATTTTTGTTGTTTATATGATATGAATGCCTACCTGTCCTTAAGCCTACTAATAGTGTTAACTAAAATTTTTATTATCGGCCATCAATTTGTAGTTATAGTAGGCTATCGTCTATTATAAATATTTTTGTTAACAAAAACATAATGTATTTTAATATTTATTGTAAAAATAAACATTATTTATTTAATAAAGTTTTTATTTTAATTCTATTGATAAATAAAATTATTTATTTTTTAAATATAAACAATTATCAATTTATTTATTCTACTACTAATAAAATAAAAATATTTTTTTGTATTAATTACTAAAATAACTATAAATTATCAATAATTACGTGTAAATTACAATAAACTAATAAAGTTATTTTAATATTATTTTTTTCAATAATAATAATAATAGCAATATTAATTTTGAAATATTACAAAAACAAATTTCAAAAAATAAATTATTAGTTAATTAATGTAAACATTTTAGAAATATCTGTTTACGATTAAAAATAATTTATTTAAATCTTTAAAAAAATAATAGTTTTAAATATTTTTTTTAACGTGATATTTATAAAATTAAACACTTATTGTTTATATTAAAAAAATAAATATAATTATATTTTATATATTCATAATAATTATTTAAAAAAAAATAAATTGTAAGCTATTGAATAAATTTATATTAGATATATATATAAATAAAAATTATAATTATTTTGTAATAAATAATTTATTATCAAAAAAAAATTAATATAATATCAACATTAGTGATAACATTTTATTATATAATTTTTGTTTGGTTTTATTAATCTATATATAAGTTCAGAAAAATTTTTTTTAGTTAATTATTGGTTTAAAAAAAACTAAAAAACTAGGTATACGTATATCAAATATAAAAAAACTAATTAATTAATTAATTATATAATTATTATAAATTTTATATTTAATTTCCAGTTATCCATACAAAAAAACAAAACAATATGAATGACTACCGTTTGTCCAACAAATTCGCGATACTATTGTCTATAGTATCGACTGTTTGCCTATCGGTAAACGGTATCAAACTGTTTGGTCTCTATAAGGACATCGATAAGCTTGAAAGTGACCAGTGTTTCAAAAAATCTGAATTAGGACTATTGGAGTGCGTTATCGACCGATTCAAATGCAAACAACACTCGGATAATAATTCAGTCTACCTGTGCTGCCTATACTGGACTATATTTGATTGTGCCGAAGCCGTATCCGAGGTTAGTTAATACAATAATAATAATAATTAATTTAAATAATTAAAAAAGTTTTTAAAAAAATAATTTCTAATATTAAATTTAAAATTATATCAATATATTAAATATAAACTCATTAATTAAATAATATTTTCAAAATACAAAAATAATTTCCATAAATAATTTAAATAATTAAATACAAATTTAAAAAGATTATAATTAATTAATTTTTTATTTGTAGAAATTATTTTTGTATCTTTTTATTTTTAAAAAAAATCTGATTTAATTAATGAGTTTATATTTAATAAATATTGATATAATTTATATTTAATATTAAATAATTAATTAATTAAATAACTACTAATAAATGGATAAAAATTTTTAAGATAATATATATATAATTTATAATTATATAAACTAATAATTAATATAGAATTCTAATTTATTTTTCAGAATATTTTTTCTAACTTTTTTTTTTAATTTCTGAATTTTAAATATATATTTATTAAAAATTTAAATTATATATATTATAGCTAATTTAAATAATAATCATTATAATAATAATAATAATAGCAATCAATATTAAAATTAATTTAGTATAAAAATATACAGTTTATAGAATTTAGTTTATTTTAAGACTATTTTATTCTAACTGTAATTTATTTATTTTTTTTTAAAAAAAAATATTTAATTAATTTAATTTATATTTTTTTATTAAAAAAAACTAATCAAGGATGTTTGCAAATGTGGTGAACGTAGTAAAATGATCAAGCTGCTCAATGATGTCAAAAACGATCTAAATGCTAAATTGTGCAAGCTCACTCCCTATAGTAATAAGAAAAAACTTTGCTCAGCATATTTTAATTACTAAACTAAAAATAAATAATTAAATTTAAATAATAATTAAATTTAAATAATAATTAAAATTAAAATTATTTATTATATTAATTATAAACTTAAATATATACAGTATATGGAAAAATATTTTTATTTGTTATTTTTAAACATATACTATTATTTAAACAATATATATATTTTTATTTAAAAATTGCTGCTTAGATTATATTAATTTTTAACTAAACAATTTTATTTTAATTAGATAATAAAATATTGTAATTCAATTTTTTTTGTTTTCAATTTTAAAACAAATAAAAATATTCATTGAAAAAACTATGTTTATTATTATTTTTTACTTATTATTTAGTTTATTATTTTCAAAATAAAAACTGTAAAATTATATTATATATAAATAGATAGGCTGAAAATATGATAATCTAAAAATATTTTTAAAAAAAAATTAATTATTAATATTAATAAAATTACATTTTAAAAACATTTTTTGTTAATCTTAAAAATTAATTCTAATATATATATATATTCTTATATATTGGTTTAGTTTAAATAAATAATTTTAATCTAGATCAATTGGGATTTATTTTTAATATTTATTCAATTAAATGTATTATTTAAGTATACAATTTTGTGTGTGTGTGTGTGTGTTAAATTAAATAAAGCACCCACACAATATACTAAATATATAATACTACTCTATATTAAAAATAAATATATGTATACTGTATTATATAATACCTATTATATTGAATATATTAAATATACAAAAAAATAAATAAATAAATATTTTTATAATACAATTAGTAATCTCTCTCTCTCTCTCTCTCTCTCTCTCTCTCTCTTCTTTCTTTCTTTATTATATAAAATTTCATTATAAATATATCTATTTTTATATTTATAAATTACATTTATATTGCTATTATTATATTTTTTTTTGCAAATAAAATGTGTGATATATTATAGTGGTTTCTCGGCTACCAAATTGATATATATATATATATTGTATTTATATTGATATACAGTATAAATATATTTAAATAATATATATATATATTGTGTTGTCGTTTTTTAGGTATAATTAAAAAAAATGTGTTATATATAAGTGTGTTATTTTTTATACTGTATTTACTACTAATATTTCAACGGATATATTGTAATATACTGTATATCAATATAAATATATATATATCTAAATCCTAAAAAATTGAGATAACGATATCAAATATATATATATAAATTTTATTATTATTATTATTATTTGTGTAACAATAACTTAATAATATAATATTTATTTAAACAAAATATAATAAGTTATAAGTTTTATGTATTTTTTAAAAAAATATATTATTTTAATAATGTTTTTAATAGTATAATAAAGTTGACTAATAAATAGTTAAATTATTTATTAATACTTTATTAATTATTAATAATAATTTTCATAATAATAATACTTATATAAAAAAAACTTTTGTTTTACATACTATATATGTATTTATGAATGAATAATACAAATATCAATAATAATAATACTAATAAATATTAGTCATTATTAAAATATTTAATATAATAAAATATTTTATATATGTATAAAAACTGTTTACAATAAAATACTCGGTGTAATATTATATTACATTATAAAATCAAATAATTTATATAATAAATATTATGTTATAAATATATTTAAAAAAAAGTGCTACTAATAATAATTTACAAACTAATAGTTAATAATTAATTAATTAATTATTTTTTTTTAATGTAAATTATAGTTAAATATTGTGTATAATATATATTTTTTTTGTCAATCCAATAATAAATCATCAAAAATAAATATGATGTCAAACAACAATAGGCGCACAATTAGCCGATATTTATTTCATCTAAAATTCATATATATTGTGGCATTAATTTTTGTATTAATTGGCTCATTGGTAATAATAGGCTATCATGGTCAATTACGTGAAAAATGGGTAACTAATTATTATTATTATTATTATTATTATTATTTTAATTTATTATTAAATAACTAACTAAATAACTTAGTTAACAAAATAAAATTTTTAAAAAATAGTTTAAATTTCTATTATTATTTTTATTAATATTATAATATATAGTTTTTATTAACAGCAACAACAACAAAATAATTATTTAAATAAAATAAAGTAATTATTAATTAGTTAACTATGAAAAAATTTTTGTTTAATTATTAATTAAATAACTAACTTAATTAATAAAATTAAAATAATTAATTATAATTTCTATTAAATATATCATTTAATAAGTAAATAAGTTATATAATAATTTAAATTATATATATTATTTCTTAACTATAATTAATTAACTACAACATATTTATAATTAGTTAACTATATAACTTATAACTATAATTAGCCAACTAATAATAATTAATAATAATAATTAGTTAGCTAGTTAATTATAGTTATAAGTTATATAGTTAACTAATTATAATTATAAGTTATAGTTAAGAAATTTTATTATTATTATTATTATTAATTTACTAAAAAAATTATTTAACTAATTAATATTAATTAATTTAATTAATTAACAAACACTAGTTATTAACAAAAGCAACGCTATTATCGTTTTCAATTATAACGGCTCTGGTATCGATTGGTGGCCTAATCGGCAGTTTTCGGCTAAACCAATGTCTAGTCCTATCGACCGCTTGCTATATGTCGGTTATGAGCCTTGTATTGTTGGCCATAGTATTCACTAGGGTATTTATGATACCGGTGCTGGCCATTGTCAGCCTTACGGCTATCGGTGGCCTATTATATTCAAATGCATTGAACAGGGCTATTGTCGGCCGTACGGAGGCCAAGGAGATGAAAACTATTACAGCCATTAATTTGTCAGCAGTCGACTAAAAAATATAATAAATTATATATATTGCAAATAATTTAGCTAGCTTAGTTAGCTTGCTATTGCAATATATAAATATATATATTGCTAGTAATTATTATATTATATACAGTATTATAATAATTACTAGCAATAGTATATTGCAATAGAAAGCTAACTGAGCTAGCTAAATTATTTGCAAATAATTATTTTATATTTGTAATTAGCATAGTATTTATTATTATTATTATTTTTGTTGATTTTTGTGTAATTAAATATTATTGATAATATATTTCATATGTATTATTATTATTATTATTATATTATACATGTATGCTATGATTTATTTATTTTATTTTTTATATGATATGATATTTTTTTTGTTAACTCATTGTGCATTTATAACAAAAATTATTTTTTTTATTAATATTATATTTATTAATAATAATATAAAAAATATAATATTGATAATAATGATAATAATTTTTTTATTATTAAAATATGTTTATAATTATTGTAAGTTTTAGCTTTTTAATAATGTAAAAAACAGTATAACCATGCACATATATATCTAAAAATTAAATACAATACATTATATTATGTATATTATTATTATTATATGTTTAATAAATAAAAAATATTATTTAACTTTATATTGATATTTTTTTCGTGATAATAATAATAATATATTTAAGTGATAATAATTTTCTATTATTATAATAATAATAGGATATGCCATTTTTTATTTATGTAATAAAAAATATATATTTACACAGGTGTTATAATAATAATAATAATATCTTATATTTTTTTAATTTAGTTCAAAATAACAATACAATAACAATTGATATAAAAAATATAATATAATAATTAATTTATCTTTAATTTTGTGATAAGCAATTTGATAGTTAATTTTTTAAAAAAAAATAATTTTAACAGTTTTATAATATCTAATTTTAATTAAGTTGTTTGTTTGTATATATATATATATATATATATATATTACATTAATATATATATATACTGTATATAAAAAATATATTATCAATTATTTAAGTCATATGATTTTTGTTTTTGTTTTATTTACTAGTATTTATAATAATAATAATAATTATGAAAGTTTACATTTAATATTTTATAACAAAAAAAAACTTATTTATATATATACAGTAAATATTAAATAACTATAATATAAAACTATCGGTTACTGCCGGTTAGTAACACTAATATTATTATTATATATATATACAGTACTATATATTTATATATATTTAATATATATATATATTATAAAAACTTAATTGTAAACTAATAGTACTCTACAGTACTGTATATATCTGTTTGCTTAACATTTATAAGTAGTTATCGAAAAAAATTAATATAAATTAAATATACTGTATATACAAATATAAAGTGCTTTTTGCTGATATACAGTACTGTATATATATGATTGAATAAAAATAAATTGTGTACTTATTTACAGTATAATAATTATTATAAATTATAAATTATTAAGTGTACAGCAAATTATAAAACTTTTAATATATACATTATAATGTATATATATATTATTAATAAATATATTTTTCAGTGAACTTTAATACCAAACACTAATGGTGTATATTATAAGTTATACATATATAAAATGATTGTGTATTTTATTTTCAATCAAACACTAAGATAATAATAATAATAATAATAATTTTTGCTGATTATTACTAAATTATATTTATAAAAAAAATTAATATTTTATTTATAATATTTATTAACTAATTTCTATGATAAAACTAACTGTGAAAGTTAGCACAATCTATAGTGTGTGATAACTATTACTTAAACAGTATATATATATATATATTATTTATAATAATAATAATATATATAAATAAAATTTATTGTTCAAAAAATGTTATATGCTACTTGTTATATATTTTTTTGTATATATATATATCAAAAAAATTAAATATTTAAAAATTATTATAAGATATAGTGATTGGATCCCACTAAAATAAAAGTTAAATTTATTTTTTTAAATTTTATTTGAAGTTACCGTTAATATAAATAATTTTGTGTGTGATTATATAATTTTTTATTTAATACAAAAATGTATTAAATAATGATTAAAATAGTTTATAAAAATTATGTAATAATTGTAATAATAATCATTGACTTATAGCCAAACATATGATTGATTTGAGTGATAATTGATTTTTTTAGTAATAAAAGACGTATAAAATTAATAATAATTTTTTCAAATAAAAAATTGTGTATTAAATTTCAATAAATTTATTACTAATATATATGTAAAACAAATATAACTGATATTAATTAATTAGTTTTAAAATAAACAATTATAATTTAAACCAACAAATAAAATAAATAAAATATTATATAATTGTGTCAAAAAATTATTTTCTCAACTAATTAGATTAATTAATTAATTAATAACCATTAATAAAAATCAGGTAGGTTAATTAACATATATATTTTATTTAATATTTAGTTTTAATACAAATTTATTATCAAGTTTTAATTTATTATTATTATTTATTTAATTAAATTAATAGTCTACTAATAATACTATTGTTAAATTATTATATTACTAAATATGTATTTCTATGGATATTTAATTATATTTAAAATAATTATATTTTAATAATTGTAATACTAGTATAATTTTACAGTTTTTTTCTGATCTAATAATATGATATTAAAATTATTATTATTATTATAAATTTGATATTCAAATATTTGCACATTTACTAATCATATGTATATATATAAAATGCATAACAATTAATAATATTTTTTAAAAAAATGTTTGACAAAACTATCAAATAATAAATATTTTTAAAAAAATTAAACATAAAACTAATTTATAATACACTAGAATAATATTAAAATTAAAATTTAATATATTTTAAAAAAATAATATTAGTATTTTCATAAGTAGTATTTAAAATATTATTATTTTTTTAAAAAAAATATATTAACTTATTATTATTAAATATTATTTTAGTTAATATTTAAAAAAATAATAATATTTAAATATAATACTTATGAAAATACTATATATATATATTCAACAACAAAAAATTGAATAAAAAAAGTAATTTTTTGGTTTAATTAATTTTATGATTATTTTTTATATTGCAGACAATTTATTTTTCGTATATATATATATAAAGTTTAATATATATATATATATATTGATATAATGGGAGGTTATGAGCCCCACCATCACCACCACCACCATCAACAACAACAACAACATCATTATCGTCAACGACACGACTATCACCAGAGGACAGCCCTATTTCTATGCCACAAATGGACATTGTTTACAATATCGTTGGCCATACTGGCCATGAGTACCGTATTGGCAGCGCTTAGCCATAAAATTGCCGACAACTATGCCATCAATTATGAAATTGAATTCAAAAGTCAATATCAAAAAGTTAGTAAAAAAAAATTTTTGTTTTAATTAAATTAATTAATAAAAAAAAATATATATATAATTGATATTACATACTGTATGCCTAAACTATAGTATAGTTAAACAGTAAAACATTTAAAAAAATTAATTTAGCTAGGTAATTAAAAACTATAGTATATATTTAATTTTTAATTGTTGTATTTTTTATAATTTTTATAATAATTTAAATTAATTATTAATTAATTTTTATGATCTTTTTTTCTAAGTTTCATTGACATATTTTTTACAAAAAATAAATATCATATGTTATCATTATATATAGATATAATAATTTTTTATTAGTTAGCAAAAAATTGAGAGTACATTATAATATACAGTTAAAAAATATATATATTCAAAAACAAAATCAAATTGTACTCAAATTTATACAATGAATCTAATTGTTTAAATAATTTTCTTAAATAAAATTCAACAATTTTGTTGCATTTTTAATTTTTTAGCTATAAATAAATCTATTAAATTTGAAATCAGAAATAAATGATAGTTTAGTAAAATAAATTAGTACTAAAATTAAATAAAAAATAATATTTTTAGAAAATAATAATTATTATTTGTTTTTAATTCAAATAAACATAAAATTACAATACAATAAAAATATCTATTATTTAAAATATTATCTAGTACATAAATTTAAATAAAATATGCTTGTTTAAATATGCATAGTATTGTACATGTATAAATTATAAACTATACAATACAGTACTATCTATTAATATAATCAAAAAAAATACTTGATTTAATTATTATAAACAAAAACACAATAATATCTAAAAATAATTTGTTTTTATAATTATTTTTTTTTAAAAAATAGTGTTATTGTTGTTATTATAAATTAGTTATTTTTTTTGTTAACAAATATATATAACAATATATTACAATATAAATAAACAATTTTGAATAACAAAATTCATCAGAGTAAAAAAAACTTATACAATAGATTTAATATTAGATTTTGTGTAAATTTAAACTATACTATATATATATACTATATATATAAACAATATATAAATAGATATTTCCATATAATTGTTTTTATTTTCAATATAAAATTAACTTATTTTTGATTTGTTTGCCCAATTGATTTTTTGTTTAGCAACTATTTTAGCAATTTTTCAATTTGAAAGGGTTTATTGACACATATATATTTAGACACACACACACACATATACATACACACACACATACACACACACATACACACACACACACACACACATACATACACACACACAYACACACACACACACACACACATACATACACACACACATATATATATATACACATATACATATACATACATATACTTACACACTCGGCAAACATAGTAACAACTTTCACATAAAACATAATATATCTAATCTATATTGAAATCTAATGCCTGATAAAACAATTTTATTTTTTGTGAAACAAAGAGATAATTTTGTTAATAACTTATATACTATATATATATTTTTTAACTATTAGTAGTATTCATGTGTTTAATGTCAATGAATTAGTTATATTATTAGTTAAATTAGTTATATATATATAATATATATATAACATATTTTGGAGACAACATTATTGGCATATAATGTACTTTAATTAATATGCAAACAATAATTTTATTGATAATAAAACAAAAAAATTAACAATTAAATTAAAATTTAAATAATTTAAATATTTTTGAAAATACATTATTTTTCATACTCATACAAAATTAATAACATTAATAATTACAGCAAAAAATTATAAAAATTTATATATTATAAACAACTTATATAATAAATGTTTAGCTTATTTTAATTGAATTAAAATTATTATTATTATTATTATTATTATTATGTAATTTAATTTTTAAAAAATACATAGAATATGAAAAATAAATATTTTCTAATTTAATATTAGTTATAAAATTTTAATTTTTTAAAAATCTAATTAATTAATTAATTATTTAATTAATTATAAATATAGGAATCACTGGAACAGGCGCTGATAGGTATGGCCATTGTTACCGGTTTTTTCTCGCTATTTGGTTTGGCCGGTGCTCTCCGCGAAAGCTATTGTTCAACATTTACGTTTGCCGTCTATATGGGTGTGAATACCGTTGGGAATATGTACGCTGCCTGTACAGGGGTGGCCGGTGTTTGGCTACCGGCGCTCATACAGCTAACCATTACGTTGGTTGGCTGGACATTTGCCCGTAAACTACGGCTACAGAGACCGATGATGAGGACGGCATCGACGGCATCGGGGACGCCATCGACGTTCATAGTCAGCACCGGTAGACACCATCACCAGCAGTACGGCCATCATCACCAACATATAGTAGTACCGATTGTTGCCGGTGGCCAACAATGGACTACCGGTGCCCAGTTGTTGTCACCTGGTGTTGGTGGTGGAGGACTGGGAGGTCATGGGTTGGCTAATAGTAATAGTAATAATCAATGGATTTGTGTACACAATCCGCCCCCATATGATAGTCATCCAGAATATTGTTGTAATCAATATAATAATAATAATAATAATGAAAAAATTGGTGTTTAATAATAATAATAATAATAATTTATTAATAATTTAAAAAAATAAAATTAAAACTAATTAATCTAATTTATAACTATAAAAAATTTAAAAAAAAATCTATAATTTTTAAATCATATTTATCCAACTATTTATTATATTAAATATGATATAAAAATTATTTTAATAATTGTTTTAATATATATTAAATATATTGATATATAATATTTTTTAACAATTTTAATTATTATATTTGATTTTTTTAATTTTCTAATCTAATCAAACAATTTATGTTTTTTTAATTATATTATTTTAAATTAATTTATATTATTAAAAAAATATATTGTACAAATATATAAATAAACTAGCTAATGTAATCTATTAATCTATATTTAATCAAATAAAAATCAATAAATAATTATTGTAAAAAAAATAAATATAAATTTTATGTTTAAATTTTATGTTTTATAAACTATATAACAATATTATTATTAATATATATATGATATATACTAATAATTTTTTCCTATTGTTATATATATTTATTTAATTATACTAATAATAAACAATAAAAATAATGTAAAAATAATAGACTAATTATAAGTTAAATTATGTGAACAAATATATACTGTATATTAGTTATAAATATAATGTTTTCAATCAATACAATAGTATTGTTAAACAAAACAACTAAAATAGACATTTTTAGTCAATATATCCTAACATTTATTATCCATATATACAGTATATATATCAAAATAAAACTAAAATAATATTTCAAATAAAAAAAAGTGCATCAATGATAATATTATATACAGTTTTATTTTTGATRTTAATATATTTTATAGATTTTAAGTTAGAAAGAGAGAGAGAGAGAGAGAGAGAGAGAGAGAGACTATTTTAAGTACATTTGTCATCATATCTATTGACAACAATTTTTACTAAAAACTAAAATATTTGTAGAAAAAAAAATTATTTGATTGATGAGTTTATATTTACAATTTTATTTTATTTATATATATATAGTTTTGATTATGATATTAGTTATGATTTTTTTTTCGTTGTTGAAAAATAATATGTTAAATAAGTTTTGTTTTTTATTGTTGGTATTTTCAATGCTATAATAATATTGAATAATAATTGAATAGAAATTATATATATATATATATATTCAACATTGAAATGCACTTAAAAATATTAAGTTATTTATTATTATTATTATTAAGTTTTTAAATCTTAAGTTTAATATATTTGTTTTGTTTACCCTCTCTTAAAGTTAATGTTATTTAAAATTTTTATGTATAAAGTGTTTTAAATTTTTTAAATATTTATTGTAAATATATAAGTAAATAATTATTGATTTATTTTTTTAAAAAAAATTATTTTATACATATTTAAAATTAATTTTATTTTAATCCTATAGTAATTAATCGAAAAAAATATTAATTATTAACCATATTTTACATTTAATTTAATAATCATTATTATTATTTCTTAATTATATTTAAAATACTATGAAATTTATTTATTATAATAATTCAAATATAATTAGTTTTTAGACTAAATTTAATATTAAAAATCAATTGCTAATTAAGTTTATAAACATTTTTGTTTTTGTATTACACATAAAGTTAATAAAATATTATTATTATATAATAATAATAATAATAGTAATTATAAAAATATTTTTTAAAATACTAAATATCAATGAGTTTAAAAATATATATATATAATTTAAACCTACAGTAATTATAATATATATATATATATAAATATCAAATGTTATACAAAATGATTTTCATGTTTTAGTTATTAATAAATTCATGATTTTTTGTTTGTTTGTTTAAGTATTTTTATTTAAATAAATTAATAATAATAAACATAATTAATGTATTATACAGTAGATATGTTTTATATATTATACACTAATTAGTTTGTAAAATGGTTTTATTTTAGGCTTTTATAAATCATTTTTAAGTAAAAATTTTATTTTTTTTTGGTGATATTAAACATAATTAGTTTTATTATATTAATTAGTTTAACATTTTAAAAATAATATTTTAATTATCTCTCAACAAATAACACGAAACATATATTATTATTATTTTATTTATTTATTTTTTTTGGAAAATAAATATTTTATTAATAAATAAGTTTTTGAAAAGTTTTTAATAACAAAAAATTTTTTTTATACTAAAACTATAAAATATTACTATTTATTATTATATATTATAAATAAAATCTTAATTTTTTATGGAAATCACTAAAATTTAAATGATTTTACAATTATGTAAATAAATATTTTTAAAATAATTTTTAATTTTTTGTTTAAATAATTTATCAAAAACATATTGAAAAAATATGTATAAAAAAATCAAATAATTGCAAAATTATTTTTTTTAATAAATGTGTTATTTATTTCAATAGAAATAATAAATAAATTGATAAACTTGTAATAAATATTATTTTTTTTAAAAAAATTATTGAAATAAAACTTTTTATTTATTGATGACTAATACTATATATTATTAAATATTATATATTTTATGACCTATTTATTGAAAATAGATATCTATATGTATTTATGCAATATATTCAACTAAATTTGTAATATAAATAAATTTTCAAAAATAAAATAAAATATTGATTGTGTTAATTAAGCAAAAAAAAATATAACTATTATATATATGTAAAAAATTAATTAAATATTATCTTATATTTGACTACATATACATTGTGTGTGTGAAATATATTATATCTGTGTTAACAGTGATATAATGAACTAAAATTAAAAAAAAATAAAATTTTAAACACTTTTCTCTAATACAATAAAAATAGTCTTTTTTTAAGTAGAAATCCTTGAAACTCAATGTATAGTGAAAACAAAAAAAAAATCAAATTATAAATGATATTGAATTTTCTAAACTTATAATATTTAATGTCTAACTTAGTTATTAAGTTACTCTCTCTCTCTCTCTCTCTCTCTCTCTCTCTCTCTCTCTCTCTCTCTCTCTCTCTCTCTCTCTCTCTCTCTCTTTCTTAGTTATTACTCACTCACTTACTCACTCAACCATTTAGCAACACACATACACATACACATACACATACACATACACATACACATACACATACACATACACATACACATACACATACACATACACATACACATACACATACACATACACATACACATAGTCTACCAAAAGTGTTACAGCAATAGTTAATAGTTTTTTTAGATACATTAAAAAATTATAATAATAATAATAATTAGTTTAGTACAGTATATATCAGTACATAATAATTATTTTTTTTAGTGTACTTTAGATTTTACGTAAAACATATACATTTATTTTTTGTGTTCAACTAATAATAAAAAATTATTATTATTTAATAAAAAATAAAATTAAAAAATTTGTGTTAAGTGTGGTGTTGTTGATGATGTTGTGGTGTTTTTTTTAAAAACTATGAAAATGAGTCAAAACATTGATTAAATGAAAGTTTATTTTTTTATTTATTAAACAAAAAAATACAGAGAAAACACAAAACTGGAAATTACAGGAAAAAGTTATTTTTTATTTAAAAATTAATTTTTAATTTAATATATTAAATATGTATTTGAAATACAAGTTTTAATAATTTATAATTTTTTTTATTGCACTTTGTGTGTTGCATATATATATATATATATATATATATATATATATATATATATATATATATTTATTTATTATTTAATATTTTAATTGAAAATATTTTTATTTTAGTTATTATTTATTAAGACATTTTTTTTATTACGTATTTCATTATTTTTAATCAAAATATTTCTATTAAATAATACAAAATAATAATAATAATAATAATTAAAATTGTTTAATCAAAGTTTTCCACATATTTACTGTATATATAAAAAAATAAATAAACATAAATAATAATAATAATAATAAAATAAAAATATAAATATGTGGTTAATTGAAAAAACTAATAATAAATAATAATAATAATAATAATAAAATGTTAATAATTTTATTAATAACTATATTTTCATTTTAATAAATTATTGTTATAATAATAATAATGTCATAATTATTATTATCAAATAATATTACTTAATAATAATAATTAATGATAAAAAAAGATATTATTATTAACTAAAAAAAACTATAAGTTTATTATTTTTAAAAAAATTAATAATAATAATAAAAGTGTAATTTGTTATTATTATTATTATTATCATTATCATTATCTATGGCTAATAATTTTGTTGTTAAAAAATTCAATTATTAATTAATTAATTAATAATTATAATGCATTTGATATCATATCGGAGTAAACTGTTTTTGGGGCTCAAGTATGCAATACTGGTAACACTTGGCCTACAAATATGTCTAATCTGTTATCTGGTCACCGATTTATCATCAATTAGCCAATGGCTTAATACACGGGTATTGGCTAAACGGGGTTTGTCACCGATGATGTCCACCACCACCGCCACCGTCGACAATGTTACCGTCGGCCTAATGGCCACTTGTGTTGGGTTTATGTTGCAACAAATGTTGGGTCTGTACGGCATATATATGGAAATCCTGGGACTGGCCATTGTCTATACGGTACTGACCGCAGTCCAGACAATCGTATGGCTAGTGTTGGCCATCGAAGAGTCGGTACTGGCCCTACCGTTTGTCGGCACGGCTTTGCTGACCACTGGATTGTCGGTCTATTGTTATCTGATACCACGTGACGGCGGCGGCGGTGGCGGTAATACAGCCAACATTGGCGGCGGCCGTAAAAAGTCGACCGATTTAGTGAAATCGTTTTTCGGTAGTCAACAACAGTTGGCCGACGATTTGTATGTAACATACGAGTCGATGACCACTACCACTACCGCTGGTGCCGACGACCGACAATACAACCCGTCATCGGCGGTAGTGTCTGTGGTAGACATCAATATGATTAATGAAACCAATAGTACCGGTAGTATTGGTTGTCCTGATAATTGGGATCAACCATCAAATAATAATAATAATAATACTAATGGGAAACCCTATCGACAGCACCGGGAGTTTGAAAATAGTACTTATATTAAGTTTTGAACCAAACAAACAATACAAACAATTTTTTTTGTTTAATTATTTTTAAAAACTTCAAAAACATCAATCATATTGTGATAATGATGTCGACGACATTGATTTTTTTTGTTGCAATAAATAATTTTTTTTATTTATTTTAGTTTTTATTAATTAATTAATTAATAAACATAATAATAATTATTAAGTATAAATGGTTAGATTATATGATTATCATATGATTATATTATTATATTATCTCATTATTATTATTATCTAAAAACTTATTGATTTCATAAAAAATTAACTATTGATTTTTTAAAAAATAATTATAAACCCTATTATTTGTTAATAATTTTAATTTTTTTTAATTTTTTATAATAATTGTTTATTTTTAACAATTAAATATAAATTTATTTATATATAGTTTGTATACTTTTTTTTAATGTGTTTGTATATGAATACAGATAAAACAATTTTATTTATCTATTGATTAGATTAGATTTGAGTGAATAATAATAATAATAATAATAATCAATAGATAATTATTTTTAATGAATGAAATTGAATGAAACTATTATTAATAAAAAAATAAATATTTTCAATGAAATTAATAAATAAAAAAAATAAAACTATTTGTTTTACAAATTTTGTTGTTATTGTTGTCAATGATTGACTAAATTTATTCAATGATTAAAAAAAATTCATTCAATTAATAAAACATTAATTTTTTTTTAATTATTATAGTTAACAATATTTTAGTATATATTTTACTGTTGTTGATATTACTCCAGAGATTTATATCATTATTATTATTATTATTATTATTATTATTATTATTATTATTATTATCATCATCATTAAAATATCATTTATTATTTTTGGTAAATTACCTAAAAAATTGTTATCAAAATAAATTTATCAAAAAATAAATCTTATTTATAGTGTGTGTGTGTTTAACATTGAAAATAAATAATTTAACTTTTGTTTTATTATTAGTATTATATATTAGAAAAAAATAATTTATATATATATATATTAATATTTTTGATTAATAAAATAAATTACTAAAAAATTAAAAATAGTTATCAAATAGTTATAATAATAATAATAACTAGAAAATTATATTTTTAAAGCAACAACAATAGCTAAAAATTTTTAATGATAAATATATAGATAAAATAATTGCAATTAAATTCTACATTATTTGCATTTAGTCAACCATTTATTTATATTAAACTATATAATATAATGTGTATTATATATATTAAATATACATTATATATATATATATGTATTTGAATAGTAGTATTGCTAAATACAGTATAATATAAGTATATAAACTATATTAGTATTATTAGTAGAAAAACAGGAGCACTGGTATGTAATGTAATGTAATCTAATATATTTCTTAGTAAAAACGATATATTTCTATATATATATATACAGTATATTATATATATATATATACTGTATATTCAATGATAAATATATTCAAACTAGTTTTTGTTTTAATAAAATAAAAACCTACCAGTGCTTGCTATGTGTGTGTGTGTGTGTGTGTGTGTGTGTGTGTGTATAAACGGCTGAGTGGATTATTTAATACTTTAGTAAAAGCACTTGAACAAATATAATAATAATAATAATAATAATACCTGTATGATACTACAGTACTAGTGCCACGGTTAAAACATACACATAGGTACATACACACACATAGACACACACACATACATACACATATACACACATACAAACACACACATACACATACATACACACACATACACACACATACACACACATACACACACATACACACACATACACACACATACACACACATACACACACATACACACACATACACACACATACACATACATACACATACATACACACACATACACATACATACACACACATACATACGCGCATACATACACACACATAAACACACACATACACACACATAAAATCACATATACACACTTTATGCATACTATACACCTACATCAATTATTTAATATAATTGAAATCAGCCAGGTAAAAAATTCCCCTAAAAAAAATTTTCCTTCCAGGTATTTTATTGTGAAAATTTAAAGTACTAAAAAAATAATTGTATTTATTTAAGTATAATATATTTAGGACGTAATCTTATACCTAGAATATTGAATTATTAAATTTATATATAAATAAATAAATATAAATTTATATATAAATCAATAAAAAAAACATTATTTTACATATTTATTTTGTTTAATATATAAAAAAAATATTTAATTTTCAACCAAAAAAAAAGTTAAATCTAACAAAAAGTTTGTATTGAGAAAAAATTTGCTAATATTTTGTAATATATATAACTTATAAAAAATTTCAGAAATTTATGTTTTATTACTAATTAGACTAAAAGTTTTTTTTTTGATTAAATCAAACGCATATTGTATTCAATAATCAGATAGTAATCTGAAATATTTTTTTTTTGTTTTCGTAGATATATATCTGAGATAAAAAAAATAAAATATTTTTTTTATTACTAATTAAATTAAAATTATCAAACATTGCACTAAACTAATTAGTCAAACATACAAAAAAAAATAATTATTTTTTTTAGCCGTCAATTGTATGTTAATTGATAATAATTAATGCAATTTTTTGTTGTTGGTAATGATTATAAAATAATAATAAGCATTAAAAAATATTTTTTATTATAAATTTAGTTTTATTATTATTATTATTATTATTATTATTTTTGGTTTAATTAAATTAACATATATTTAACCAAATATTATGAAAATTAATTGACATTATATTTAAAATTGTATCATTAAATTAACATTATTTTTTTTGTTAACAACTTTATATTTATTTTTGAAAATATTAATTACAAATAATAATTATTATTATTTATACTAATAATAATACATAAATATTTTAGAAAATTACAGTATGAAAAAATTATGAAAATCATATTTTTTTTTATTATTAATTATCAAATTATGTTAATAATAATAAAGATTTTTTTTTTAAAAAAAACATTATTAATACATATTTTTTTAAATTAAACAATTAAATTGATATATAATTATAAACTAAACAATAATAATAATACTCAATACTATATAATATTTTTTTTTTAATAAATATTTTTTGTTTAACTATTTTGAATATTATTATTATTAGTATTTTTTGTATTAAATAGAAATTTCATTTTTATTATAAATATTATAAATACAATATTTATATACTAAAAAAAATTGGACAACATTTATATACTATATATAAATATTTATATGGCATTACAAGCTAGCTAAATTGATATACATAATAATTTTATAATAATAATAATTATCAAATTATTATTATTATATCTGTATATATTAAATAATGTCTAAAAAATTATTTTAGATTTATTATACATAAATATTAACTATATATATATAAATTAAAATACATATACAATATGTTTAATAAAAAATTATTATTAGCTAAAAGATTAAAAGCAGATATTTTTTATTTAAAAAACATTTTTTTCAAATCATTTATTTCATATAAAAACCAGTTAAGAATGCTAGAAAGCATTATTAGAAAAAAAACTTGAATATCATAAATATGTTGAAACCAAATAGTTGGTATAATTATATAGTATTAATTTATATAGTAACAAAAATAAAAAACTGGTAAAATATACATAATTTAAATAATGTTATGTAGGTTATCAAATGACTCGGTATGACAAAATAAACTCAACCATAGTCATGTAGGGTATCAAATGACTCGGAATGACAAAATAAACTCAACCATAGTCATGTAGGGTATCAAATGACTCGGAATGACAAAATAAACTCAACTATAGTTATGTATGGTATCAAATGATTCGGTATGACAAAATAAACAACCATAGTCATGTAGGGTATCAAATGACTCGGAATGACAAACAAAACTCAACTATAGTCATGTAGGGTATAAAATGACTCGGTATGACAAAATAAACTCAACCATAGTCATGTAGGGTATCAAATGACTCGGTATGACAAAATAAACAACCATAGTCATGTAGGGTATCAAATGACTCGGTATGACAAAACAAACTCAACCATAGTCATGTAGGGTATCAAATTACTCTGTATGACAAAATAAACTCAACTCTAGTCATGTAGAGTATCAGATGATTAATATAATGAAATAAACAAATATAATCATGTTTGGTATTAAATGATTTAGTATAACAAAATAAACAGTTAAAATCATACTTTTGCTGCCATTTTTTGAAAAAATAATATAATTTTGATCTATTATATCTTATTTTTAATACTATATACAATTCTAAGCGCTAAAATTTACCTTAATTTTTTATACGTCACCATTTTTTTAAAAAAAATAATTTTAATTTATTATATCTTATTTTTGATGCTCTATACAATTCTAAACGTTAAAATTTTTACCTAAATTTTTTTACTTTGGCCGCCATTTTTAAAAAAATAAAAATAATTTTAATTTATTATATCTTATTTTTGATGCTCTATACAATTCTAAACGTTAAAATTTTTACCTAAATTTTTTTTTTATTTTGGCCGCCATTTTCTCTATGTTCCTGAAGAGATATCAAAATTTTAATGCATATTTTTATGCTTGCTTTTGATGCTCTATTCAAATTTATACTTAAAATATTTTTTCTTAAAATTTTCTTTACTTTGGCCGCCATTTTCTATATGATCCCGAAGAGATATCAAAATTTTAATGCAACTTTTCAATACATTATTAGTAGTCCTCTAACCGAATCTGAAGTCAGAATTTCAAAATTCGCAAAAAAATTGCTACACACACACACACACACACACACACAAAAAAGGCTCGTATAGATTTCAGAAAACAAAACTTTTCAAGTTTTTTTTGATTATATTTCCGTTTATATATATATATATTACAAATCATTATTAATTACTTGATATATCTTGATATATATATATATATATATTGATAGGGATTATAACGATATGAGTTATGATCAGTAGTTTAATTGTTTGTAACAAATTACTAGCAATTAATACAACAAATAAAAAAAACCAATCAATAAATTTATATATAATAATAATACAGTAGAAATTGTATACAATAAAAATCAATTGAAACTAATAGTTTAGTTTAGTTTTATTTTAGTTATAATACTAATTGATAGCAAATTCATAATATACAGTAGTTCATCTATAGTATAGAAAAATTCATTACTTAAATATAGTATAAAGTACTGTATTTTTATATATATATATATATATATATATAAATAATCAAACAAACAGTACAGTATATTTACAGTGATTTTATTTTATTATTTTTAGCTTTTAATTTTTATTAACAAAAAACTAATGTCTATATGTATGTATGTGTGTGTGTGTGTGTGTGTGTGTGTGTGTGTGTGTGTTTTGAACACTAATGACACACCAATTATAATATACAGTATATATATATATATAGCTATTTGACAACAAATACAACTAAAAATAATAGTATAGAAAAAGCTGAACCCATTAAATAATAGGCTAAATTGATAGATGGATATACAGTATTTACAGGTAGGTATAGTATATACATGTATATACAGGTACAGTAATACCTATTTAACTAAATACTGTCATCATTTAATTGATGAAAATGCTATTATATCTAACAGTTTTTTTCTAGAGAGAAAAAAAATCAAATAATTAATTACTTATTCCCCAAATGTGTTATCAAAGTAAGAGAGAGAGAGAGAGAGAGAGAGAGAGAGAGAGATAGCAAAGAGAGAGACAATTAACTGATTAGTAATTAAAATGAATGACACAAATCGGTAATACAATGTCGACGATGACTATAATGGCCACCACTACTACCGCCAACAACGGCAGCGGTAGACACAGATGTCGGGCCACTGTCGCTGACCGACAACGACGGGTAGGCCATAGGCCGACTGTCGCCACAGTATCGATGATTGTTAGCAATCATATTATTATTATTATTATTGGTTGTCCTACCGGTGCTTATGGTTGTCAACGTAGTATTACTACTATTACTAGTAGTAGTAGTAGTGTTGGTCGCAGTTGTTATGGACGTAATGTCCGCCGCCGTAGTCGCCGTCGCCGGTGTCAACAACAACGGCGCTATCGTTATATACTTATCATTATCATTGTTGTCGGTGGTAGCCGTCGGCTGCACTGTCGCCGGCAATTGGCGATTGGCACCGATGGCGGCCGATTGTATGACACCCGATGCTGACGTAGTGGCCGGTGTAGGTGCCGGTGCCGGTGTTGGATTGAAATTAAAATGTGACATATTCACACACGATGAGGTCCCTGGCCCCATATCGGCAATTGAACCGTTTTGATGGCACTGGGAGTGATGACCGTTACACGAGTTTATCATCATTCGTCTAATTAAATAATAATAATAATAATAATTAAAAAAAATAAAATTTAATTATATAATTAATATTGATACAATGATATAATATTATATTATTATTAAAAAAATATTCTAGTATTTAGAAAATTATAAGGTATTTAGTAATAGTAATAATAATAATAATATTTTTTTATCTAAATATATATATATTAATTAAATTTTATTTTCATTAATAATAAGTAATAATTAATAATTAATAATTATAATAAAATCATAGAATTTTTTTTTAGTATTTTGATTATACAGTATTTAGTAGTAATAATAATAATAGTTAATTAATAGTTAATAGTAATAATAATAATAGTAAAATATTAATATTTATTATAATTATTATTACTAATTTAGTTAATTATTATTTTTTATACATACATATATATTAATATTAATATAAAGTTTAAATATATATTTATAACTTTATATGAAATCAATAGTTAATTTACAATAATATTTAGTATTAGTATTATATATTTTTTTTTATAAAAATAACTCAAATATCAAATTTGATTATTGATTTTAAATTTTGTTACAAATTTAATATTATTATTATTCCTATTACTGTAATTTATATTTTTAAAAAAAACTATACCATACATAAAAAAAAATTTTCAAAAAAATTATATGAAAAAATTCTACAATTTTAGTTTGAAATATAAAAATAATATATCTATTATTGATATATTATTGATATAATCAATAGTTACTCAAAAAAATAGATTATATATTTTATATTTATTAAATATAAGTAATCTTTATTTATTTTTTAAAATCAATTTTTATAATTAAGTATAACTTAACTTATATATATTATATACTGTATATATATATATATTTATATATAAATTATTATTGATTTCTAAATTTTAATCAAATTTATGTATTAATTAATAATTATATAAAACTATTTTTTTAATAACAATATTAACCACTAATTATTATTATTTTGTTGTTGATTATATTAAAATTATAAACAGTATATACAGTAATATAATGTATATTGAATACATTAATAATAATATAATCAATAATATAATCAACAAATTATATATATATATATATATATATATATATATATATATATATTGTTTAGTATTAGTACTATTATAATAGACATTAATAACATTATTTATTTTTTTTAAATAGCAAATAAAAATCAAATAAAAACCAACAAATTGTTAGACAATTTAAAAAAAAAAATTTTTTTTTTTTGATATTTTATTGGGAGTTCAAAAACAAACATTTTATATAACTATAATTTGTAATTTTTTATCTGTATATATATATAATGTCTATACAGTATATATATATATATATATATGTCTATCAATTTGTCTATTTGATTGTTTGACTATATATATACTGATATATATATATATACAGCACATGTATATAGTATATAAAAAATCAATATAATTATCTTATTATTATTATTATTATATATATATTATTGTTGTTGTTATCAATGTATGTGTGTTTGCGTGTGTAGTAAAAGTAAAAATAAATAAAATAAAAAAATAAAAGATTTGTATTTAATACTAAAATATCGGATAAATAACATATTAAAAACACAAATCTTATTTTTTAAGTACTGATTATTATTATTATCATTTATATTACAGTATTATTACTATGTATTGTGTATTATGTCTACTATATGTCTAAACTTTATATATTGTATTATATTATACTTAATATTTACTTTTTAAAAAAAAAAATATTATTATCTTAAAATCTGTATACCTTTATATTGTTTTTAATAATTTATATATATATATATATATATGAGATTTATTTATTACAAAATATGATACTTATTAAATGTTATTTGAAATATGATATTATATAATATTACAGTATATTTATAATATATATATATATRTGATATACAGTATATAGATTTCATCCAATTATTTCAAACAATTATTTATTTTTCACAATATTTGTTATTAGTTTTATATATATATATCTATAGATTAGTTGATAAATAAATTATATAATTTCCGGAAAAACAATTTATATATATATATATTTTTATATACAACAAAATAAGTGTAAAATAAATAAATTACAAATTACTTTTGAAAGTAATATCTATTTGAAATAATAATAATAATAATAATAATAATAATAACAATTAGTTCATATAATTCATATGTTAATTAATTTTTTTTAAATTGATAAATTAGAGTAATTTTTTTAAAATATTTTATTGTAATTAATTATTTACTGTATGCCTGAAAATATAATTAAATCTTAAAAAATATTACTGTATATATAAAATAATAATAATAATAATAACGTGATTTTATGTCAAAAAAATTTCATATGTTTTCAGGCACTTATAATACTGAGTATATTATAATATCATATAAATTATAATTAGATATAATCATTGAATATATATATATGTATTTAATATTTAATTAAACAATTATAAAAACATTAATAAATATTTCACTACTAATAATAATTTTTCAAAAAAAATTAATAATAATTAGATATAATAAAAAAAGTAAAAACTTTATAACTTCAAAAATATAGTGTCAATAAAATAAATATTATATATATACTGTATATATAATTAACTATTATTAACAATTAGTTTTATTATATTTTTTTTATAAAAATTTAATAAACTTTATATTAATATTATTATTTTTTAATAGTATCGACCATTTATTTTTTTTTAAAATATTGGTCAACAAAATTTTAGATATTTTATTTTTTATTTTATTTTAGTTTTATTAAATTATTATTATTATAAATTGATTTTCAATATAAATATATAAAAAAGCTATTTGTTAGTAAATGTGTGGGTGAACTAAAAAATAAAAATATATATAATTATTTTAAATTGCTAATAAACTAAACTACATATATATATATATATATATATATATATATATATATATATATATTTATATATATATATATTATATATAAAAGTTTGTACCCGGATAAATAAAAATTTATTTAATAATAATAAAAATGTCAATGTTATATATATATATATATAGATAATAAAAATTAAATGAAATTTTATAGTATTTTTTTATTTTTGGGTAATAATTTAAGTTAAGATTTATATTAAAGTGGAAAAAAATTAAATTTCATTCAAAAAAATAAATAAAACTAAATAACAAGATAAAATGTTTTTAAAAATAAAATTTATTTTTACACTATTTTTTTTAAATTTATTTTCTAACAGCTTTTCTAAATTACTTTATATATATATATATATATATATATATATATATATATATTATTAAATTTTTTTAATAATATAAAAATAATAATAGTTATCAAAAAAAACTTTATACATATATTTATTTATTTAATTAATTTTTATTTTTGTTGTTGTTGTTGTTGTTATAGACATTTAACATTAGAAAAACATCCTACACAATTTTTTTTTATTTATATACAGTACATACTGTTAATATTTACTGTATATATCATATAATTTATTTATACAGTATATACTGTAAATATAAAATAATTTTTTTTAAAAACTACATAATAGTTATAATAAAAAAAATATTTAATTAAATTAAATAATACAAACAAAAAATCCAATAGGTTAAGCTATAAATATAACATTTCAAACTATATACTATATATAATATACTGGATATATATATATATTATTTTGTATTAAAAAAAATATATTAATTATCAACAACAACAAAAATTATTTAATAATTATGTTTGTTTTTTGATAAAATAAATTAATAGACATATATAAATATAAATATATAATTTTTTATTTATAATTTATGTTTATATATATATATAATATATAAATATTAATAACTTTTTAAAAATAAAAAAAATTAATTATAATAATAATAATAATAATATTTTTTAAAGAAAAAATAATTCAAAAAATTATTAGTTACTTATATTATGTAATATAATATATAAATAACTAATAATTTTAAATATAATATAAATAAAAAATAATTTTAATTGAATATAAATAACTAATAATTTTAAATATAATATAAGTAACTAATAATTTTAAATATAATATAAATAACTAATAATTTTAAATATAATATATAAATAACTAATAATTTTAAATATAATATAAATAACTAATAATTTTAAATATAATATATAAATAACTAATAATTTTAAATATAATATATAAATAACTAATAATTTTAAATATAATATAAATAACTAATAATTTTAAATATAATATATAAATAACTAATAATTTTAAATATAAATATAAATAACTAATAATTTTAAATATAAATATAAATAACTAATAATTTTATTACAGTATAATATAAATTTATATTATACCTAAAATTTGATGACATAAACCCGTAGACAAACGGATTGAGTGCTGAATGTATAAAGGACAGTAGGTAGAAAGCTACCCGTGCCGAATAGGTAAACTGATCGAAATTGGTTAGGCCAGTGGTAATCATAACGTTCATAATCAAACGGGGTCCCCAGCAAACGTGAAATATGATAACAATAAATAGTAGCATTTTGATTACCTGGAAGTATAGCTAAAATTATTTCAATTATTTATTTGTTTTTTTATTTTTTGAAGTATTTGTATTAATAGTAATAATAATATTCAATAAAAAATAAATGATCTAAAAATTAATTACTAATAGATATTTTTTTTGGTATTATTGTTAATAATAATAATATTCAACAACTAAAAATGAGATTTTTATTATATATTATTATTAATATATAAAAATTAGTTACTAATAAATATTTTTTTTTAGAAAATATATAAATAAATACTAAAATCTAAATAATAATAATATTATTCAAGAAAAATGAGATTTTTTTATATATTATTATTAATATATAAAAATTAATTACTAATAGATATTTTTTTTGGTATTATTATTAGTAATAATAATATTCAACAAAAAAATAAATGATTTATATTTTTTATATATTATTAATATATAAAAATTAGTTACTAATAGATATTTTTTTAGAAAATATATAAATAAATACTAGAATCTAAACAATAATTGAAATAATTACTAATGTTTTATAATCCAAAAAATATATTAATTTTTTGTATATTTTATAAAAAATTAAATCGACTTTAAGTTTATATATTCAAGATTTTTATTTTTTAAAACTAAATATAATTAATTTCTATATAATTAAAATTTAATGTTAACTATTAAGATATATGTATTATTGTTTATTAATCATTAAATATTGTTAAAAATTAATTTTTTAATACTAAAACATTAACATATATTTTATGAAAATAATTGTCATTTTTAGAAAAATAAAATAAAATGTAATATTACTCATACAGTATTTTGTATAAAAATATTGTATAAAAATCATTATTATTAATGTTTAGTAAAAATTTTATAATTAGTTTTGAAAAAAAATAAAATAAAAGCTATAAACTGTCATAAAAGTTTGTTTTAAAGGAAAAATCATAAATTTTAAAATAATAATAATAATAATAACATATTTTAATAATGTTTCAAAAAATATATATATACAGTATATATTAATATTAATATTTTAGTTTTCTATAGAAAAATAAATAATTATTATTATTATTATCTTTAAATATTTTTTGAAACTAAATAAAAATATTTTTAATAATAAGTAATTTTTATTTTAATTGCTATTATTATTATTATTATTATTAGAGTATTACTTAGTGTTGGCAAAAAAGAGAAATTTATAAAATAATAGAGAAATTTCTAGAAAGTTTCTAAAAGAAATTTCTATTTATGGGATCCCCATGGTTAGTTTTGTTTTCTCGATATTTGTTATCTTTAACATTGTTTTTATAAGTAATATTTAAATGTTATTATTAGAATTTTAATTATTAATTAAAGTAAAAAATTAATTTATTTAATTATATTAGACTATGGTATAATAAAATGGTGAATAAAATTTTACAAAACATTATTATTAAATAATTATAATTATTTATATATCTATCCCATTTGTATATTAGTATTATACAGTAATCTATATTAATATGTAGTCTCATTAATATATTTATAGTTTTACAATATCTATAGATATGGGGATCCCATAGTATAATAAAAAAGTTAAATTTCTATAGAAATTTATTACTGAGAAACTTTCTAGAAACTTTCTCAGGGAAATTTATTAGAAACTTTCTATTTGCCCATCTCTAGTATTACTGTATATATATAAATTTGAAAAATATTTAAATCATTAAAAATATATTACTTTTAGCTCTAAATCTTTATTATAATAATAACAATAATAATATTTCACCAAAAAAAATAATTACAACAAATTCATAGAAAAAAATACAACAAAAAATAATAATACAGTATATAAAATGTTTTATAAATATTAAATAATTTTTTAAATAATAATAATAATAATAATTACCTGTTTTCTAGCATTTCTAATATCGGTAACTGGCGATCGGTTAGGCACTGACTGTGCCTGAAATGTAGTACTGGTGCTACTATGATGCTGATTGTGATGATGGTTATGGTTATAGTGATGAGGATGATGATGATGATGCTGGTGGTGGTGCTGGTGGTTATGGTTATGGTAGCTATGATGATGGTGACGGTAGTGATGATAGGATGTATTTAAAAAATCATATTCAACTTGGCTTAAGGTATCCACTGAATCATTGTGGTGATTATGATGATGACTATAATGATGATGATGATGACTATTGTTGCAGTGATTACTACTATTGTAATAATTAAAATTGTTGACAACTTTATTAGCATTACTATTACTATTAGCAGTAGTATTATTATTATTATTATTCAATAACAACAAGTTGTTAACAACACTAGTATTATCAATGGCACTGTTAGACAAAATTTTATTACAATTATTATTATTATTAGTTATTATATTTTCATTATTAACATTATCACTATCGGCACTATTATTAGTATTAGTATTAGTATTCAAACTGTTATTACAATTATCAACAATAGTATTATTAACAATCATACTATCATTACTATTATTATTATTATTATTATTATTACCACTAGAGTTATAGCTCGGGTAGGCATCGGTAGTACTAGAGGTTGTTGTATTATTATTATTATTATTATTATTATAGCAACCATGATTACAATTAAAGCTCAGGGATGCTGCCAGATTATGTCGTTTATTATTATTATTATTATTATTAGACGGTTGCCATCTAACCAGATACGACTGGCCATCTTTATGTATACGCATACCTCCTGTTCCCGTAGTAGTGGTCGTTGTTGTCGTATTAGTAGTGGTGGTAGCGGTATTGTTAGTCACACTACCGTTACCGGTAAACGACTGGCCAGTTAGTGTTGTAATTACTTTGGTTGATACCCATAGTTCACGTATGACACAAAAATAGCAGCCAAGCATCAGTAGGGCCGGTATGACAAACAGGGTTAGCAGTTGATAGACGGCTATTATCAGTGCCCAGTGATCGTCCGATTCCCAGCAGTAGTAGGCCGTCAATGAGGTAACATTGTTATAGTAGGTTATGGAGTACATGTTCTATGAGGGGGGGGTAGTTAGGTATGGTTAGTGGGAGGGGGTGGGGAGGTTAGGTGAATGGGTGGTTAATGGGATAATAATAGGTGTAGGGTTAGGGCAAATGGATAGTAATAAAAAAATTAATTAATTAACAATTTTTTTTTAAATATATTAATAAATAAAATTGATTTATTTTTTAGGTTTTTTTTTGAGATTATCAATAGATAGTAAATAATTATTAAAATAAAATTTATTATTGTTATAATAATGTATAAATTTAATCAAACATTTAAAAAAATTAATTAATTTAGTATACTAAAAAAATTATTTGTTTATTTTTTTGGACAATTAAATTATAAATTATTTTTTGGTTTTTTTCAAATATATAATTTTCATACAAATACTTGTTTAATAAAAAAATAAATAAAATAAATATTTTTTGTTGTTGTTGTAATAAAATATATGTTAAATAACAACTAAATAAACAAATTTATAGATAAAATAAACTAATTATTTTTTTAAAAAAATTAATTTAGAAAGATAATTTATTTTTATTATACAATAAGCGTATATTATTATATATACTATTGTTTTTTTTTGTAATTTAATTTTAACTATTTTTAAAACAAACGTTTATTTTTTTTTTATTTTAGAAATGTATTGTATTTATAGTCACAAACAAACAAATTATTTTTTTGTTGGTAATAATCGTTATAATAAAACTAAATTATTGTTGAAAAATAATAATAATAATATTAAAACCTGAATTCATTGTCAACAAACACATTAAAATTTAACAAATAATTTAATCAGTAATAAAATTGTTGACTAAAAAAAATATAAATTTAAATAAAAACATTTATCGTTAAACTATAGTTAAAATAAAAATAAAACATTTAGTAAATCGTTAAATATATAATGTGTAAAATTTTTTTAATTGTATTATAATTTAAAGTAAAACACAATAAAATATATATACAGTATATACTGTAAACTATATTTGTTTGTTATATTATACTGTTTTTTAGTAATATTATTAGTTTTACTTAATTTTAATATTAACATAAATTTTGTTTACTGATCAAAAAAAATTATAATACTATAACAATAACATACAATATATACAGTATATATGAGATTATTATTTAGTATCATAAAAAAATATTAATAAATACAAACATTGAAAAAAAACATATATAAATATTTTTACTATAAATATAAGACTAATGTAATCCTTATATTATGATTTTTATTATTACAATATTTATATTATATATGATATTAATAATATTATGACAATATAAAATATCTCATATTTTAGTATTATTATTATTATTTGATCATTATTATTATTATTATAATGATATTAATTATAACATGTTTACAAATTAAATACTACTATTAAATATCTGCATTAATTTGAGTAATATATATATAATATTGTATATAACATATAAATATTATATTATTATTATTATTATTAATAAAATAAATATCAATATATATATATAATATTGTTATTATTTTTGTATTTTATTTCAAACAGAATAATACATATATTAATATATATAAAATGTTATAATATTTTTTTGAATATAAATATCAATTATTTTCTATATTGTATACATAAATAAACCAGTTAAGAATGCTAGAAAGCATTATTAGAAAAAAAACTTGAATATCATAAATATGTTGAAACCAAATAGTTGGTATAATTATATAGTATTAATTTATATAGTAACAAAAATAAAAAACTGGTAAAATATACATAATTTAAATAATGTTATGTAGGTTATCAAATGACTCGGTATGACAAAATAAACTCAACCATAGTCATGTAGGGTATCAAATGACTCGGAATGACAAAATAAACTCAACCATAGTCATGTAGGGTATCAAATGATTCGGTATGACAAAATAAACAACCATAGTCATGTAGGGTATCAAATGACTCGGAATGACAAACAAAACTCAACTATAGTCATGTAGGGTATAAAATGACTCGGTATGACAAAATAAACTCAACCATAGTCATGTAGGGTATCAAATGACTCGGAATGACAAAATAAACTCAACCATAGTCATGTAGGGTATCAAATGACTCGGAATGACAAAATAAACTCAACTATAGTTATGTATGGTATCAAATGATTCGGTATGACAAAATAAACAACCATAGTCATGTAGGGTATCAAATGACTCGGAATGACAAACAAAACTCAACTATAGTCATGTAGGGTATAAAATGACTCGGTATGACAAAATAAACTCAACCATAGTCATGTAGGGTATCAAATGACTCGGTATGACAAAATAAACTCAACCATAGTCATGTAGGGTATCAAATGACTCGGTATGACAAAACAAACTCAACCATAGTCATGTAGGGTATCAAATTACTCTGTATGACAAAATAAACTCAACTCTAGTCATGTAGAGTATCAGATGATTAATATAATGAAATAAACAAATATAATCATGTTTGGTATTAAATGATTTAGTATAACAAAATAAAGTTAAAATCATACTTTTGCTGCCATTTTTTGAAAAAATAATATAATTTTGATCTATTATATCTTATTTTTAATACTATATACAATTCTAAGCGCTAAAATTTACCTTAATTTTTTATACATGTCACCATTTTTTTTAAAAAAATAATTTTAATTTATTATATCTTATTTTTGATGCTCTATACAATTCTAAACGTTAAAATTTTTACCTAAATTTTTTTACTTTGGCCGCCATTTTTAAAAAAATAAAAATAATTTTAATTTATTATATCTTATTTTTGATGCTCTATACAATTCTAAACGTTAAAATTTTTACCTAAATTTTTTTTTTATTTTGGCCGCCATTTTCTCTATGTTCCTGAAGAGATATCAAAATTTTAATGCATATTTTTATGCTTGCTTTTGATGCTCTATTCAAATTTATACTTAAAATATTTTTTCTTAAAATTTTCTTTACTTTGGCCGCCATTTTCTATATGATCCCGAAGAGATATCAAAATTTTAATGCAACTTTTCAATACATTATTAGTAGTCCTCTAACCGAATCTGAAGTCAGAATTTCAAAATTCGCAAAAAAATTGCTACACACACACACACACACAAAAGGCTCGTATAGATTTCAGAAAACAAAACTTTTCAAGTTTTTTTTGAACATTTTTTTTTGTAATATGATATTTTAAACTAAATATGTAATAAAATTTAATAAAAATAAATAAATAATATATATTTTTATCTATATTGTAGAAAAATAGTTAGATTTTATTTATTTATTTTTTTAAAAAAAAAATTTACTATTAAAGTATAGATAAAAATTTAAATATCATTTATATAACCAAAATTTATTTCTTAAAATTGCAAATATTTTTTTGTTTTATAATAAATACTGTATCATATAGTATATAATTTTAAAATTTTAAAATAATATATATATATATTTATATAAATACTATATTGTTTTTAATATAATAAAAATAAATATATTTATAAATAAAAATAACACAATAAAACTATTATATACAGTATATACATATATATATATATATATATTAAACTTTTTAAGATTAATATAAAATAATAATAATAATAATAATATAGAAAATGTTTGACATTTAAGTATAACTATTTAAAAAAAAATATTATTAAAGTCATACAAATAAAATTATGATTTTAGTTTTATTAATATCTTTACAAAATAATCAATATTTATATGAAAAAAATATAAGTCAATTACAACAACAATAATAATAATAATAATAATAATAATGATATTTAAACAAAAAAAAATATATTTCCTGTTAAATTTACTAAAAATAAATTTTTTAACTTATAAAATCTTTTATTATAATTTTTTTATTTTTTAAAAAAAAAATTTGACATTTATTAGTAAATATTATTTGATTAAAAAATTTAATTATTTAGTCTGAAACTGCTATTTATAAATAGAAATTTATAATTAATAAAAAAAATTAAATATATATTTTTTACTATTAAAATTTTATAAGTTTATTTTAAAAAAACAAAAAATAATAATATGTTTCTAACCATGGTTAATTATTTAATAAGTTATTTATTTTTTATACAAATAATAAATTAATTCTAATTTATAAAATTAATTCTAATTTATAAAATTAATTCTAATTTATAAAATTTATATTAGGACATAGGGTATTAAAAATTTTAATAAATTTATATAATAATAAATTAAATTAATTTACCTTGTTAAAAACTATAGGCGCTGCAAATACAATGGCCAAACTCCATACAATTATAAGGCTTCTCCGGGATTTACTTACTGTACACCAACGCCGGGCACGTATTGGATATACAATTACCAAAAATCTAATAATAATAATAATAATTATAAATTAATTTTAATAATAATAATAAATTAATTTTAATAATAATAAGAAAGTAATTTTAATAATAATAAATTAATTTTAAATAATAGGAAATTAATTTTAATAATTATATATTAATTTTATTAATAATAATAAATTAATTTTAATAATAAATACTATTTATATCAGGGTTAAGCAAGGTTTTGGATTTTAGGGGGGGGTAGACCGGGGTAAAATTTACAAAATTCTCAAAAAATCTTGGGGGGGGGGTATTGGGTGGGGTAAGATTTTTATTGCATTTTTAAACGGCAATTTTTTCAAAAATCCAAAATCAAGGGGGGGGGGTCTAGAGAAAATTCCCTAAAAATTCCTTAAGTTCCCGAATATTCCCATGTAAATTCAATAAAATTCCCACAAGTTCCCGTATAAATTCCCGGGAAAATAGGTAAAATTTCCAAAAATATAAAAAAAAAACTTAAAAAACTTAAAAATTAACAAAAATTTAAATTTTAACAAAAAATAAATATTTTTTAAAAAAATTTTTTAAAATTAATAAAAACTTAAATTTTAACAAAAAAAATAAAATAATGTATTTAAGATTTAAAAATAGTTGATAAAAGCATTAATGATACACTATGAGTTATTTTTAGTATTTTAATAATTTTTAACTTTTAACATAATTAATTTTTTAAACAATACTTAATGTTTATAGTTTGTTATATATTTTTATTTTTATACAAATACTGACTGAATACTACTTATTTAACTCAAATTTCGTTAAAGTTTAATTATATTAAGTACAAAATTGAAAATATTTTTAAATTTTTTATTTAAAATTTAAAAATTATTAATAAAAACATAAGTATTTATTGTTTTATTAACTTCTTAAACTTATATTTAAATTGTAATATGATTACTCTTTTCAACAAATAGGTAATTTTTAATTTTTTAGTTTATTTTAATTAAAATAATGTTATTTTTTGATGACTTTTAACGTTATTTTAACTATTTTTAATCAATAATTAGATTTTTATAAATATTAAAAACATAAAAACACTTACTAAAATAGTATCAACTAAAATTAAAATTTTTATAAATTTCAAAAAAAATTTTCGGCGCCTTCGGCGCCGAAATTTTAGGGGGGGGTCATTTCTCCTCGTTTTTAAGCGACAATTTTTTCAATTTGGTCAAAAAGTCTGGGGGGGGTAAAATCCCAATTTCTCGATCTTAGGGGGGTATTTTGGCCTTACCCCCCCTACCCCCCCTTACTTAACCCTGTATTTATATATATTTAAAAAAAAACAATAAATTACTTTAAAAATTATTTGAACCAAAAAACAACTAAACAATAGATACAAACAATATATATATATATATATCAATAACTAATATAAAAGATATTATTATTAATATTTTTTAGTTAAATATACTGTAATTAATAATAAAATTTTTATAGTATGATAGTGATAGTTTATTGATTATTTATTGTTTTTTATACAAATAAATGATATTATAATAAATTAGCTATCTCTAATTTATTATAATATTTTTTATTTGTGGGTGAGTGTCAAAAACATAAACAATATCAAAATTTTTCATATATAACCTAAAAATATCATAAAATAGGTATTTATTATATTACTGTATATATAGCCATATAATCTATATTATAATAAATATGATAAAGTATTATTATTATTATTATATACAGTATTTTTTGTTGTTGTTGGTTGTAGTGTATCAGCTATGAAATAAATCAATTAAATTAAAAGCACAAACAATTAATTTTGGCGCTGAAAATGACACAATTGATAGATTGTGTCATAAATGAGATCAATGGGGATAACTATTTGTGTGTATGTATGGGTGTGTGTGTGTGTGTGTGTGTGACTCTATGTATGTATGTATGTGTATGTGTGTGTATGTGTGTGTGTGTTTGTCTACGTATGTATATATATATATAAACTGTATGTATGTTTAGATGTATGGGTGTGTGTGTATATGTGTGTATATGATGTATGTGTGTGTGTGTGTGTGTGTGTGTTTATGTGTAAATGTGTAAATGTGTGATATGGGCACCCGCATGTTTTTGGCCCAGTCATAGATAAATTATAATATACACGAAACAACTATAAGGAATATCGATATATAATTTATATAACTTTATATATATACAGTATATACTGTATGTATAATATAAAAAACTTTTTTGTTTATTATTAAATGATAATCAATTTGTTTGATACACACTATTGTAGATATACTTACTATGAGTATCTATTGTATGTAAAATTTTTATCTATAATATGATTTTTTTAAAAAAAGTAAATATTTAAATCTAAAAAATATATCAATAAATTTGTTTTGTTTGTCATAAAATATATGAATATATATTTTTATTTTATTTTTTTTCGGTAATAATCTCGTTAGTGATAATAATGTTTTTTTTTGAAAATATAAAAATATGATTAAAAATAATAATATTAATGTATAAAAGTTTTTCAATGTTTCCTTATTATTATTATTATAAATCAATGTAACGATTATGTAGAAAAAAGTTTTTTTTTTATATCTAAATATTTATTTTTTATCATATTTTTATTATTATTAATAATTAATTAAAATAATGTTTCAAAATAATAGTTGGCTTATTATAAATATTGTTCATTTTTATTAATAATAACAAAATGTTGATAATATCATATAAACATAATATTGTATCTATTTATACACTATATTTAACATGTATTAAAATAACAATCTATAAATTTTATATATATTAAATTTATATATTATTATAAAATTAAGTCTATTTTTATATACATTATTATATAACACACTCACATACACTCACATACACACACATAGACACACATACACACACATACACACACATACACACACATACACACACATACACACACATACACACACATACACACACATACACACACATACACACACATACACAAACATACACACACATACACACACATACACACACATACACACACATACACACACATACACACACATACACACACATACACACACATACACACACATACACACACATACACACACATACACACACATACAAACAAACACTAGTATTTATATTAGTCGGTCGGGAAAACATACCTTTCCACAGATACGGCCACCAAATTGAGTACCGATGCCATACCCGATAGCATTTCGACAAACGAGCTTAGTTTGCATATATTGCCATCAATATCCCAGGTTATAACAAAATACTCCAGGGTTTCCAATGGTACATATATGACCAGCAATAGTAGATCGGCACAGGCCAGTGATACGAGAAAAGTGGCCGTCGATGACCTCAGTTTACCGCCACGTGCCCAGGTAGCTATGACTACCGAATTGCCGATTATCCCAACAATAAATGTGATGGCATGGGTTATCACAATTGTCAGGAATGCTATATATATATATATATATATATATATATTGGGTTTATTTTGGTGGGGGATTGACGAGGGGGTAGGGGTAGGAGTAGATAGATGTTTTGGGGGTGGTTAGTTGTTGTTGAGAGGATGGGTATGTAAAATAGGACGGGTAGGTAATTAACAAAAAAAATTTTTAATTAATATACATGTTTATTTTTTAAGATTATTATTTAGTATTAATTATTTATTAGTAATATTTTAGTAATTTTTTTTTATAAATTTTCTATTAATAATTTTCTAGTAATTTTCTAGTAATTTTCTATTAATTTTCTAATAATTTTCTATTTAAAATTTTCTAATAATTTTTTAGTAATAATTTTCTATTAATTTTCCTAATAATTTTCTAATAATTTTCTAATAATTTTCTAATAATTTTCTAATAATTTTCTAATAATTTTCTAATAATTTTCTAATAATTTTCTAATAATTTTCTAATAATTTTCTAATAATTTTCTAATAATTTTCTAATAATTTTCTAATAATTTTCTAATAATTTTCTAATAATTTCCTATTAAATTTTCTAATAATTTTCTATTAAATTTTCTAATAATTTTCTTTTAAATTTTCTAATAATTTTCTATTAAATTTTCTAATAATTTTCTATTTTACTATTAATTATTTATATTATATATACAGTATATGAAAATAAATTGTCAATCAAATGTGTTTTGTTAATAATAATAATAATAATAAACACAAACCGGGATTAATATGAAACGGGTCGAGCATTTCATGTGGATTATCGATAAACACATGGGTATTATTAGCAAATTTTGTACAATAACTGCCATCACTAGTTGATCCACTGGTGCACTCGTAATCCATGTCATTGTTGGTATTGGTGTTTATGTTGGCGGCCAGTAATGTCTTGTTTACTACCGGTAGGTCCATCATCACAATGGTATGTAATGGTCGGGTAGGTTATAGTCTACTGACACCAACAAAAAAATCTATTTATAGGATAAGCATTTACACATAAAAAATATATATAATAAATTGGTTAGTGATTTATAATAGCTAATGTTTTCGGGGATATTATAAACTAATAAATACTGTATATATATATATAAATAATAATAATACTGTATATATTACTATAATTTAATATATATATATATAAATAAATTAATTAATTAGTTATTAAAATTTTTTTTAAAAAATCTATATTAAGTTTTTAAATATTTAATAATGTTATATTATATGTATTTTTTAAATATTAATATTATTAGTAAAAAATCTCTATAAAATTATTATTAAAAAAAATTAAATTAAATAAATATCTATTATTATAAAATGTTTTCTTAAAAATTATAAATAAAATAAATTTTTTTAGTCTATTTATATATTATCTTAAATACTTATAAAAATGGGGGAGAAATTAAGGTATCTAATAATTTATTGGGAATTAAAAGCTATAAAAGTCTAGTAAATAGACATGAAATACGGTATTATAAGATTAAATATTTATTTTATTTTTTTTTGAAAAATAAATTTAAACTATATTTTGTTTATCAACAAAAATTAAAAAAATATAGACAGATATTTATAAACATTTTATTTCTAATATTATAATATACTTATATAAATAAATTATGTAATACTTATTGACTTTTTTTCAATGAAATAAAATTATTCTTATTATTATTAATACTAATATTATAGTAAATTTTTTTATTTATCTATATATTTATAGTATATTCAAATAAAAAGTAAATGTTATTTATTTTTTTAATAATACTTAATCATTCATTCATAAAATTACATTAAAGTTTTTTTATTAGTTTATAATTTAATATTAATAATTTAATAGTATATAATTTTTTTTGTATATTTATATTTTAAAAAATTTTTAGTTTAGAAAAATAGCTAATATTTTATTTTTTTTAAATAAATTATTTAAAAAATTTATTATTCAATTAAATTAATTATGTTTTATGTTTTAGAGAGAGAAAAAACATAAATTAAATAATTTAACACTATTAGTATATTTTTACTAAAAAAAACTAAATAAATAATAATTTAAAACGATATTTATCATTGTCAAATAAATTTATATAATAATTTTTTTTTTAAAAATAATAAAAACATGCACATGTAATGCATATGCATATATGCCTCTAAACAATATACATATGTTTTTCAATTTATTTAAAACTTATTATTTAATTTATTTAAACTCATATATAAATACTGTATTATACAATACAAAATTGTTTATACAATATAGTTGTGTGAAATATTTTTATATAAAAACATATGTGTTTTGTTGTGTAATGTGTGTTTAGACATAACATTTTTAAATACATAATATTATTTAAATAATTTAAATATAGATTTATGTCTAGATATTATACACAAACACATAGACACATACACACTAACACACATATACTAAATAGGATACAATTAATTATATGATGACAAATATTTATGTGTATATATAAATAATATAGAAAACTATACATGTATATTGTATTAAAGTAAAAATTTTGTATATACTATATATAATACATGTGTATATATACTGTATATCAAATGCATTATTTAATTGTACACTTTATATATATATATTATTTTTAGTGACAAATAACTATTCAACAAAAAAATATATGTTAAAATAAGAAAATATAGTAACAATAACAATTGTACAATAAATTAAATATTCACATTTTTATTTTTATTTTTATACTATACATACATACACACACACACACACACACACACACACACAATGTTTACATTGTAATACAGTATATTTGTTAAAGTATATCAATATATAAAAAAATAACATTATATTAAATACTATTATATATATATATATATATATATATATATATAAACAATTTACTATACATTTAATAGTTAACAAAACATTTTTAAAGGATATCACGTGACAACATTAGGAATATTCCTATTTATTATTATTATTATTATTATTATTATTAATCTATAAATTTATATTAAGTTACACATTATTGAATCTACACATTTGTATACTTGGTTTTTATTATTATTATTATTATTATTATATTAAACTTCCGCATGTATTATATTATTATTATATTTTTTGTGTTGTATATGTATGTGATTATGTAATATAATGGTAATGATTTTCATCAACAATATAGATGTGAGTGTATGTGTATGTGTATGTGTATGTGTATGTGTATGTGTATGTGTATGTGTATGTGTATGTGTATGTGTATGTGTATGTGTATGTGTATGTGTATGTGTATGTGTATGTGTATGTGTATGTGTATGTGTATGTGTATGTGTATGTGTATGTGTATGTGTATGTGTATGTGTATGTGTATGTGTATGTGTATGTGTATGTGTATGTGTATGTGTATGTGTATGTGTATGTGTATGTGTATGTGTATGTGTATGTGTATGTGTATGTGTATGTGTATGTGTATGTGTATGTGTATGTGTATGTGTATGTGTATGTGTATGTGTATGTGTATGTGTATGTGTATGTGTATGTGTATGTGTATGTGTATGTGTATGTGTATGTGTATGTGTATGTGTATGTGTATGTGTATGTGTATGTGTATGTGTATGTGTATGTGTATGTGTATGTGTATGTGTATGTGTATGTGTATGTGTATGTGTATGTGTATGTGTATGTGTATGTGTATGTGTATGTGTATGTGTATGTGTATGTGTATGTGTATGTGTGTTAATATGTTTTTTAACAAAAATAATAATAATAAATAAAATACAGTATAATAAAGTTAAAATTTATTTTTGTTGTGTTTGTTAATAATACCATATTATTTATATAGAAAAAATAATTAGCAGTTAATACTGTACTACTACTACTACTGTGTAGTAATTTTCATTAATATTAAAATTTTTATTTTATTATTTTTGTTTCACAGTCAAACATATACAGTACATGAATACAATATAACAATAAATAAAACTAAAAAAAAAAATAATATCAAGTAATGATAATAATAAAAACAGATTATTATTTTCCTCATCTATTCATTGTATTATTATTATTATTATATGCGAGTCATTTAATTTCATGAATTTTTTTTTACATATACAGTATATACACTTTATATATATATATTTTTTTTGTCATTTAAACTCATGTGACACGTATTTATAGTTATATAATATATATATGTATAATATATAGACTGTATATATATATTATAGTATTATAATATTAATCAATTGATATATATATATAACTAGTGAACTATTATATATATATATATATAGCTATTGTTGTTCAATACAATAATTTTTAACATAAGATATTATTGTATTTAAAAAATATAATAATAATAATAAAAATATATAAATTCAAATTAAAAAACACAATAGATATTGATATATATACAGTATATAATTATAATGTCTATGAGCTACTAATAGTTATATATAAAATTGTATTTATTTTTTTTTTGTAAAATATATTTTAATACAATCATTTGTATCACAAATAATAATAATAATAGTAGTATATACAGTAGTATTGATTTATTAAACTAATAATTATTTTTGTTTAAAAATAATAATAATTTTTTTTAAACTATTGTTGTTTTTGTTGTTAATTTTCCCAATAGTTTTTAATTAGTAGTTTTCTTAGAAATAATAATAATAATAATTTTAATTAAACAAAATTTGTAAATATTTTTCATTATTAATTACTATGAAATATATTATATATAAATATTATTTTGATTATTAATAATTTGTTATTTTAAACAATTAATTTTTAAAAAAAATAAAATCATTAATACAATTTTACTGTATATTTGTTATGTAATTTTATTTTTCTAAATTATTTTTTTATTTTTCAGATTTATATCGACAATAATACAGTATAACCTCTATTATCTTGTTTTGACTAAAATTGTTAGCTTTAGACTATCTCTCTAACCTTATCTTTAAAAACATCTATCAGTCAATTAATTGAGACAATAGAGAGAGAGAGAGAGAGAGAGAGAGAGAGAGAGAGAGAGAGAGAGAGAGAGAGCTGACAAATACAATATACTATTATTTTTTTTTTAAATACAACTGTTTATCAGTTAATGGCACACAAATTGTTAGCTTCAAAAAAAAAAAAACAAAACAAAACAAAATATTTAAACTAATACTGTATTTTGCGTTTGACTGATACAATTGAGATCTTATATGTAGTTTTTTTTACTTATACTGTATATATATATATACTTAAGTTTATATATATATAAAGTTAGATACAGTAGTAGTAGTAGTATATTGAGTGGGGGAGAGGGGTATGGGGTTCGATCCCAGGAGAGATTTATTTAATTGAATTGATAGGAATGGGAGATAAATATATATATATATATATATATATATATATATATATATATATATATATATATATATATATATATATATATATATATGTATATATATATACAGTATGTATATATATAACAAAAAAAAAGAGTTAATACGATATACAAAATAATAGTATAAAAATTAAGTGTAAATAAGTTTTTTTTTTTTGGTTGTTTAGTTGTGTGTTTAGTTTAGATATAAAATACAGTATACTATCTATACATTAGACTCTAGTGTATATAAGATTATAATAAAGAGAGAGAGAGAGAGAGAGAGAGAGAGAGAGAGAGAGAGAGAGAGAGAGAGAGAGAGAGAGAGAGAGAGAGAGAGAGAGAGAGAGAGAGAGAGAGAGAGAGAGAGAGAGAGAGAGAGAGAGAGAGAGAGAGAGAGAGAGAGAGAGAGAGAGAGAGAGAGAGAGAGAGAGAGAGAGAGAGAGAGAGAGTATTAACCGATTAATTAGACACTAAACTTATTGTATGTCTAATAAAATAATAATAATAATAAAATTTAAAAAAAACCTATTTATCGATTAGTAATAGACAATAATAATTATAATCGATAATTAAAAAATAC